TATCATCAATTAATATGCTAAGAGATTAGAGATTAAATTGAAAAATTTGTCAAAAATATGCATTAAAAATTTGAAACGACAACTAATTTGAAACAAAATTTATCTTCTAAAATGACAACTAATTTAAAACGGAATGAGTATATACTAACCGATGCGAGTAAAGCTTGAACGCCGGCGAATTTGTTGTCCCAGCTAAATTCATTCACGGCTTGGCTCCAAGCTTTATTGCTTATAACATAATTTAAGTAACTCTTTTCCCCTGTTGCTTTGTATAACCAAGCCGCAGCCCACAAAAGTTCATCCTATTTTTACCCCAAAATATTTTAAAACACAAAGTGTCTTGTTAAGTAACTCATTTACGTAAACATGAAAATATATCTATGTGTATCAGTTTGATTACCTTATAGCCTGAGTGTGAGCAGTAGAAGGGGCAAGATGCTTGGTAAGAACCTCTGTACTTATCAGCAAATTCGAATAGCTGCGACAAAATATATAATTTATACGTTACCTTATGATTGAATTGATGTAATGATTTTTTATGGATTTAATATGAATATATATACTCACGGATTTAGCATGGTTGAGTAACTTGGATGAATAAGTAGAATCGACCCGTTTGAAAACAAGTGAGGCCGCAGCAAGAGCGGCTGCGGCTTCACCCGCGGCTTCGGAACCGGGGGAAGAGGAAGAGATGCTGTAGAGAGTTCTAGGTGTGTCCATATCTTCTGGCCTCTCCCAACAACTATGATCTGAATTTCCATCTCCCAACTTTTTTATATCCATTATAAAAACAAAACCAAAAATAATTATTCGAATTTTGATAGTGAATTTGTTGAATGTTATAGAGATAAATAGTATATAAGGTTTACCTGTGTATATAGCATGTTGGGCGAAGTATGAGCGCGGAGGATAAAATTGGTTCCCCATTTGATAGTAGACCGGAGATAACCAAGCTGGTTAACGGAAGTAATTTCATTTTGGTATTCAATTGCAGCCCAACTTAACAAGGTTGTGGTAAATGACATTGGCCACACAAATTTTACATTGTCACCAGCATCGTAATATCCTCCAATCAAATTCACCTGAAAAATCAAAAACACAAAAAATTGGTTAAGTCTAAGAGATAGCATAATGCCAAAACTTATGAAAAATGGTTCCACATATATGCAAATAGAGATGTTTATGAATATAATGGGTTTACATTAGCTGATGAACCGTCAGAGAGGGCAGAATCAGCACGCCATTTAACCCGTTGGTTAGTCGGGATTTTACCGGATCTTTGGCCTTCAAAGAACAAGATTGACTTGTTTAGTGCATCTCCATAGTCAAGAGCTTCCAAGCTTTTGAAAGACAAGAACATCCCAACTAACATTAACATCAAGAGCTTGCCCATTTTTATTCTGTTTTTAGAAATGTTTCTCTTTCGAAATGGGTTTTGAGTGTGTCTTGATTTTGCATGAAATATGGTTCATGAGGGTATTTATAGATTTCCCATGCAAGTAAAGTTAGGTACGTAAATTTATTTCATGAGATGTTTCACGTAATTTTAGGGTAATTTTTGGCTGCACTGTTAATATGTTCTCTAACAATAATTAAGTTTCGATGATTACAATTAAAGGTTTTCGATATAGCAAGTTGTAGTTATTGACATTTCACATTGTATCCTTTTTTTCCTAACCACCATACTTTATTTTTTCTCTTCCATCTGTGGAGGTTTATAAATCGTTATTTAGGAGTTTTAATATAATTTCATTAGAAAGGTGGGGTTCTGGTTCATTTACAGCAAAACAAAAAAATATCGAATCACTACTTAATTTTTTAAATGGTTTTTTTTTTTGTTATAGTTGTTTTTTCTTGAAACTGATAAACAATATGTTACTGTAAAACCTATATCAATTTAAATCGGCTTCTTAAGAAACAAATACTTATTATAGGTCCTGTAATATATCCATAAATTTGGAAGGTCTTACGCAAATATATTGTTGTAGAAATGTAAAAATACTTCGTAATTAACGATCCAAAATTGTGAATAGGTATGTATCTGAAACTTGACGAAAAAAAATTGAATATGAAAAGATCCTACAAGTTTTTGGTTAAAAAGGGTTCAAGACTCAAAATCAAATACGCCGATTCCATACCTAGACTTTTGGATATACAAGCAAAATAAGTTAAATAACAACTAATAGTCAAATAAAAACCCCATATTTTTTCAATTCAAAAAAAAAAAAACCCCCATATTTTTCATTTATCCCAAAATCCAAGTTCGCCAAGATAAACAAAGAAATATTTCACATGATCAAAAAGAAAAACAAACTTCATTTCCTAATTCCCATGTATAATTTACTTTATTAACAAAAATTCAATTGAACATTTGCTACTTATCTACTCCTATTTCTACTAAAAATAAACATTGGAAGTGAGCAAATAGGTTCACTTAGCTTGGATAATGGTAAAATAAAAACTTGATATAAAAAACAAAGCAATCTTATTTAGTTGTGAAAACGCAAACTATCATTTTTCACGTGTGAGAATACTGATTGAGTGGGACTAGTTTTAATGATATGGAGATGCCGTGCCGTAGAAATGGTTGTATAAAACATTTCAGCACCCATTCCTCAAAACGTCAATGTTAGATTTTGCCGTTGGCTTTATTTTGTTTTCACTTTCTAATTGTCATTATAAACTTATCTCAGTATTATTAGTTATTATAATTAATTGTTTGTTGATCATGTTTTCCTACTAATTAAGTGCAAACCTATTGCACAAATTTCTTGCGTGTTCACCGTATATATGTTTTTAATTCCTCTCGTTATTGGTTTTTGTAGAAACAAGGGTTTTTCCAAAGATCGCACTACAAGAAACATGCTCGGAGACGTCGGTTTATTATATTAACGTTAGTCATAAACCAACGTTAACCTTCCATAAAAATGACGTTAACGAGCGTTTTTTTTGTAGTGAGAATTTGTTTAAACGGGGAAAAAAATTAAAAGAACTCTTTTTATTGAAATCTCGATCAAAAACTTGAGTACAAAGGGATTTAACATTGTTTCAAAAAAATGGTAGGGTTTTGCTCAAGAAGAATATAAAACTAGGTTTTTAGTATGAAATTGCGGATCCTTTTCTTGGAAGAAGTATAGAGAGGGGTAGTCGGTTTTCGATATGTCTTATTTCCTGAATCTTCGATCTTGAATTTTTTTTTTCCCTGTTTTCTCGGATCTTCAAGATTATCTTTTTACTTCTGTCTTCCCTTTTCCTCGTGTAAATCGGCTACGAGCTTTGCGGGCTTTTACCCATGGGCCGATTACCGGTTTGATGGAATTATTCTTGGTTTAAGTCGAGTTTGTCGGGGGTGCTAAATCCCGTACCAACAGTTTTTTAATGAAATAAAATGGAACTCAAGTAGGGATGGTATTGGATGTACTAGTTCATTTATATGCTATCGTTATCTTAAACAAAATTTTTTCTCTAATTGATAATTCAATAGTGATATTGACATCATGTTTTGAAAATTAATACCGTATAAGTTTAGTAAAGTGTTCAATTCAAGAAAAAAAAAAGTTTTATAAAGTGTTGAAACAATACTATTTGTGAAACATTGGAATTTGTTATGCCCCTCATTCTCACAATTTATTGCTACTATGCTTCTTTGCCTACTCAATTTATGCCAAATGAGATCATTATATACATTTCAACCTCAAATAAATTTATAAATACAAGATACGGTATAAAATATTAATTTTGGTCAGAGTCGATGGTTATAAGGTGATGGGCATGATTGCAAAGCATGTGACAAAGTTTTATGTCCACTATTTTCTTTCTGCCTAACGCTACTTCGTGTACGTTACATTTCCATATTAACAATGCGTTAATTACTCCGCCAAGCTCATTTTCATTTATGATTTACTTGACATTTACTATATATATATATATATATATATATATATATATATATATATATATATATATATATATTTTTAAAGTACGTATATATACTGTCATATTTATAGTCATTATGAAATCGAAAATGAAAGGACTTAATTAGAGATCATTGTTATTCATCTAGAGCAAAAGCTCTGAAACTGGAACCACTTATTTGGAGTCTTGAAGCAAATTCAAGCAGCCTTGGAGTTCTGAAATTGTTCTTCTATATGTTTGCTGATCAAATTGTTAAAATTATGGTGAGACTGAGACTCATGCTTGAATATTAGCAAAATGATAATTGAAAATCCTACAACTACAAGTAAATAAATCTTGGGCCAACTTTAATGTTCTGAAAAGGAACTTAGCTACAATAAGTTTACTAGTTTTTTCTCTGCTACCTAAATCTTTTTTTTTTTACACTTTTTTGAACAAAGAGAATGGTTTGGTCCACAAAGGATGCAATGCACCGCTTCAACAATATTTGATTTGTGGCATGAATCAATCTGGCACCATAAGGGCTTGAAACTTTCAGCTTTTAACTTTATTTTTTTAGGGGGAGAGTCCATTATGACAGTTCACTGTCCGGGCTCTTGAGCGTCGCCTATGCGTTGCACTACTGCAAAGGCTTTTGGCGCACCCCACCATAACCAGCATAAGAAAACCTTATCCCTAAATCTACTTACCATTTTTTTGGTTCTAAAAGAAAAACATAGTGTATTAGTGTTTAGTTTGTCACTAGCTAGATATCTCATATCTGCAACCAAAACTGTCCCACATCGGAGAGAAACGAATGAGATATCGCAACAAGAGAGGCTCGGAATATATTTCAACACAAATTTTTCGCTTCCGAAGAAGAACTAGGATCTGACCTTCCATATTGTCTGTTATTTGGTTCATAAAGACGAGCGTTTCACTAATTCAGCTATGTAACCTGGAGACAAGTAACCTAATAAATTCATTGAGTTCGACTTTGATAGTCGATACAACCTTTGAACTAAAACGTGGGATCACATTTTACATCTAGAGATCATTCAGATAAAGATATACTACTATGCATTATATAATAAGATTATGTGTATTTAACACTCACACTTTTATACCCTGTTTCTTTGAAGAGACATTTCACAAATAGAATGTATGAATAGTAAGTGATTTGCAAAGAGAAATGGAGTGAATGGATCTGATTTTTAGTAGTGAGCTAATCATGTACAAAAGCTTCATGGCTATCAATCTCTGCAGTTGTGAGCGTGAGCGTACGCTGAAGCTTCCGAGGAGAGAAAACTTCAACCTCTACCACAAATGTAGCTGTGACCGGGCGGTGATCAGAGAGTTTAATTTCACTTCTTCTGTAACTCATAAGCTTCATTCCTTTCCCATACCAAATGATGCGATCACACCTGAATCAGATTCAGTTCTAAGTACATATCATTTCAATTTTGACGAGTTATCAAAAAAGTTTTGTAGTGAGTGAGAGCGGTATACCAAGCTGGTGTCCGTTTCCCGGACTTGGGATCGTTTCCACCGTATTTTTCTGAATCGATTTCGTATTTGTAAGTTGGTGGAAAATCTAGAGTTCCTTCTGACCATCCCTCAAACACACGTCCTTGTCTCATTTCTCTTACAAGCTACCAAAGATTAACATGATATGAGTGTAAATTCATGATCCTGGCTTGATCCTTTATTAAAGTTTTCGACGTTTAGTAACCATACCTGGTCCTTTTCAGCTAATTTCTTCCATTCCTTTCTAGCAATAAGTTCATGCGCCTTCTCATACGATAAGTTAATCCGATAGTTCAGATCTCCCAGCCAGATTATATTTCTGTAGAACAATATTTGTCTTGTTAGAAGTTTATATTAAGAAAGAAACTGTTTTTCGGAATGTGCAACTATGAGGATAAGAGCATATACTCGTGATCACGGATGCTTCTCGGTAGTCTAGTCGCACTAAGAGAATGAGGATGAAACTGCGTTCTTCGGTGAATGTCGCTTACATCAGCATTTCTTTTCCTATGATCTCCATCTTTTTCCCCTGATGCTAGATGTGTGCACACAAAACAAAATGGTGTCTGATACACTGACATACTCACAGACACAGATCCCTGTAAAGTCCAAAACAAATTGTTACAATCCTCAAGTGTAGTCATAAATCAAGCTTAACCAGACTAATAAGAGAATTATTAAAGACCTTGTTACCAATGTAACCCATAACGCCAACACCAACGGTAGACACACTTAAGTTTCGTATGTGTTTGCGTAAGCTCCTTCGAACCCAAATGGTAAGAAAAACTCCAACCATTTGTTTGCTTACGATCCGTACATATGTTGGTTTTTGCACATTCATGAGAGGCTTGAGATCTAAATCCGAAAGTAATGGCGTCTTCTTCCCTCCAAGGTTGTTGGTAGTTGCTTTGAAAGAGCTATAATTCTTAAAAGGTTTCAACGAAGACTTTAAGGAACATCGTCTTTCTCGAACATGTTGATTTAACAATCTCAATGGAGGCTCAGGCCAGCTCAAACCAACTCTTTCGGAGTAACTAAACCATCGGCTTAAACTTTCTGCGCGTTTCGAACTAGTGTCAAGCTGCATTGAAAACAACCTGTCTAGCTTCTTTGGCGATGAAAACTGCCTCTGCAGATACTCTTGTCTTGGCAAGCATGACCTCATGTCATAATTAGTATCAACAATACCGTCATCAAAGCTAAAGTTCTCACTAACCGAATTAATCACATTGCAAGTATCACTAGTGTTTTCAACAACCATCTCTTCTACTACATCAGTGACCTCTTCAAATGGCTTAAACTTCGACGGAGAAGGCGGATCACTGTAACTTACAATCTTTACCTTTCTAGGTCGAATCCTATTTAACGCATCGCGTATAGTATCCTCCCATTCTAAAGCAGGCCGGTCATCCTCAATACCAAAAATGTTACTAGCATTCAATGGAACAATTTCCTGAAGACTGATAAATGAAATAAAAAGCATTTCAATTCAAGAAACAACGAACACGTAGAACCGAGATAGAATCATGGGAAACCGTACCCGAGAACATAAATGTCAGCAGGTTCGATCGTGTCAACCCAACCATCAATATCTAAGTCAGTAGGTGGAACTCTTCCTCCCACATTCCAAGTTCCAACACAGATTCTAGCTACACCAAAACCACATCACCAAGTAACTCACTATGGGTTAAGTAAAGCCACATACAAAAGATGCTACTACACAAAAACAGAGACTTCAAACAAAATCTTAGAAAATCAAAAGACCTGATTGCTTTTGTATCCATATACTGAACTCTAAACGTTTCTGAATTCCTTCTTCTCAGCCTTGGTTCAGCATCTAAAACATTCCACAAAAACAAAACATAAAGTAAAGAAAATACGAAAAAAACAATCAAATCCGCCATTTTCGAGGCTTGATACCATTAGTTTCATCATGAGCTTCTTCAGTTCCTGTAACTTCAAAACCAGATTTTTCGATTTAGTAACCAAAATGGGTACATTCAGATTTGAGTAAAAAAATCATAAAATATCCTAAAGATTAAACCTTCAATGTCAGAATCTGCAACACTATCATCATCATCTTCTTCATCATCACTATCAGCAATATGATCTGATTCATTAGCTGAGATATTAAACCATTTTCGTAGAAGAAAACGAGCCCAATAAAGCTGTAAGCACGATGAAGAAGCAGAACAACACAGTGTAGCCCAACCTCTCTGCAAATTCCAACTCAATTGTTCTCAAATTTCAAGAAAGCCCTAAACTTTGAAACAGAGCAGAGAAAAAAACAGAGAGATCTGTGCATTGTGCTTTACCTCTGTTCGCTGCAATGGGGATCTACCAGGAGCCATAGATTTAGACCAAGTCTAATCGAAGCAAAGAAGTGAAGAGAGAGAAGACGGTTGAGAGATATTAACGACCATTGTTGTTTGTTTTGACTTTGTGATTTTGTTGAAGTAAATTCAGACAGAACACAAAAGTTGTGATTAAGCATTAATCTGGAATTAGCCGGCGTTTAGGGTGGTGATTGATGATTGGTTGACAAGAACCTAATCGCATTTCTATACATTTTAAAATTGTTTTATTTGGAATTTTTTGTTTGTCAACTTCTTGTAAACGGAACCTAAAACAGGGCAAGGATTAAGGAACTAGGATCATCCAAAAGCGGCTAGAGTCCAAAAAGACATGAACGAAGAATGAGGCCTAACCGGCCGGAGTGCAAGTATCAGGAATGTACAATTATTTAATACAATATAACCTCTATAAATTAATAAATATGATAAAATAATAAAATTTTGCCGGTTCCGAATCGGACAAATATAAAAAATAAACCAAATTCGATTAATTAATAAGATAATAAGTTTGTAAAATCTCTATGTAAAAAATTAATCTCAATAATATCATAAATTAATAATCATGTAAATTTGCACATATACATATATAGCTAAAATTTTATGTAAGTTTTCAAATTTTGAATATGCATAATATTTATTTTAATTGTCGTAGAGGCTCTTCAAATAAATAATTGATGTTACTATTTGTAAATTTAAATTTATATATATCGTTTGAATATGGGAATTCTATAATCTTTCCTATTCATTGTAAATTTTTTTTTTGTTTTTTTTCTTAATATTAAATGTTTAAACTTAAACTTATATGTAAACGTAAAATTTTGGTATCTTATGGTTTACGGTTTTGGGTTTAGGTTTTAAATTTTAATGTCCGTGCTAAAATAACAGACAACTATGGCCCAATCTGCATTCGAAATAGTAACTAGTTCGTATTGTTGGCTTGAGAAATAATGGGCCAGAAATTGGACTGTAAATTTGGCCCGACCTTAAAATTTCCAACAATCACCTCACAATGCAAATTGCACTTTAATTGAACCGAATAGTCTTTTCGTCGCGACTATTTACTTATTTAAAATATTTCTCTTTACCGGTGAGACCTTCCACATTCACTTCACCGAAAAAAAAATGGATGCCCTAGACGGTCTCGATTTCAACAGTTACTCGCCTCCGTCCTCAAGGACGGCATCATTAAACCATGTAAAACATTCTTGTAGAAACATGAGTTGTTTTAACAACTACAACATCACCAAAGGACCAATATATTCATGCATAAGATACCGAAAGAAACATTAACCAAAAAAGAAAACAACATGTTGTCTAAACGACCATCGCATTAAGCAAGGAAATCGTTTGGATACATAACTTTTACGGGAATGAAGTCCGTCCCCGCCGGTTCAAACTTCGGGCAAGTCCCTTAGACAGGGGATCTATCCCTAGAGAATTTTGGCACAACTTCTCTTAGACGAGGGTTCGGGGGAACGACTATACCCTGGGTCGAGCGAGGCATCAATGATCCAACACGTCTCCTCACGCGTCGACTACACTCCACATCTTCAACATCGACGACTCCCGGCTCAGAAGACACATTTGAAGAGGATAGAGGAGAGGATTGCGTAGAATCCTGCGCGGTGGAAGATCCCGAATTTTCCGATGACGATGTATCGTTTTTTCGCGGCGACGGAGAGGATCTTTTACATATAAGTTTACGTTTATAAGCGTCTCAAAATCTCATGTTTATGAACGTTTATATTCTTTTAACACATGTTATGCAACATAGTTTAAGCTTTCTAATTTTTCAACATATAAAAAAACATTTGTTATAATTAAAAAATTATTTTCTATCTAAGACTTAATATTCAAAATAGATTAAAATATTGCAAGGTTGACAAAAAAAAAAGATTAAAATATTGCAATTCATATATGTTTGCTCTTAGTTCAATAATCAAACACAAATTAATCGAAAGGTGACAAATTATACGTAAGTAATAATTTTTTCTTGCCTATTTCATGTTTTATATGTGATTTTTTTGGTGAAAGACAAGCTTTTTTTAATCTGTATTAAAGTCATAAGAAAGTTTCAAATTTTATCTTGTCGGATTGTTTTCATATCCACATCTCATGGTAGTATATTAATTTTAGTTTGATTTTTTCTTTCATATATATTTAGTTATTTTTCTTTATTTATCTTTATAATCCTATACTATCATTTGGAGAGTACACTTTATAAGATACCCTTAACTAACCTTCCCTTTTGTAAGAATTTACTTAAAAATGCCATTAGAAATAAAATTTTATAGAGTAAATTAATTCAACTCATTAAGGATAAACAAGTCAAATACTATTTTATGCAATTTAATTAATTTAATTTAATATAAATTCCTAAAAATAGCCCTAAAACAAGTTTTATTGACAATAATAGCACTAGTTAACAAACTATTATTGTTTTTGTTCTAAAAATTTTATCACTAGTTTTTTTTTCAATAATACCACAATTTTTATATAAAAGCTATTCAACAAAATAAATTAGAAATAAATTTAAAATATTATATTTGGGTTCTCTATTTTCAATTTAGGGTATATATTTCCACCATTTAAAAGAGATTTTGATTCATTTTAATATTAGTTAATGGTATTATATTTGGGTTCCCTATTTCTAATTTAGGGTATATATTTCCACCATTTAAAAGAGATTTTTATTTTAATATTAGTTTGTGGTATTATATTTGGGTTCCCTATTTCCAAATTAGGGTATATATTTCCACTATTTAAAAACAATTTTGATTCAATTTAATATTAGATTAGTGTTTGCTCTCTTTTTTATTTTCTCTATCTTATATTTTCATTAAGTTTAATTGAAGTTTATGGTGCTATTTGTGGAACTTTTCAAATGAGGTGTTATTTTTGGAAAAAACAACTTTTTAGGGCTATTTGTGTCAATCTCTCTTAATTTAATTATAAAAACGAAAATCTATTATTATTTTTTTTTTAAATGACCAATCAAAATGAACATATAAGATTTGATATCTAACTTATCACATTAATTTGTTATTAATCATTATACTTCACCTCTCATCTTTATATTATTCTATTTCTATAAAATAAATAAATTATTATATCATCTACATAACAAAAAAAAAAGTAAATTTTTTCTGCATATACAAAGATTTGAATTTTTAAAAACGAATATAAATTGTTCAATGTATAAAAGAACAAATTTAACGGGTCAAAAATTCATATTTGAGTAATATATTCCTTTTTTTAATATCATCAATACTTAATAGATCAAAAACTTAAGAAATATAAATACTAATTTGATATTTTGAAACAAATATTTATAATAGGCGGCGCGTTAAATATAATGTATTATATGATGAAATGAGTTATGATCCTTATTACTATTTGAATATTTATATTTAATTTCATATATATATATATATTTTTAAATTCATAATTTTACATACTACAATAAAAATTTTAAAGATTTTAATTTGCACATTTAAAAAAATTTTAATTTAATATATTAAAGAATATCATAAATATTAATAGATTAAAAGATAAAAAAAATTATAAATACTAATTTGATTTTCTAAAAATATATGTTTAATATATTTATATTAGGCGGCGGGTTAAAAGTAATGTATTATATGATAGAAAGTTATGATCCTTATAATAGACGACATTTTAAGATTTTATGATGAGATGAGTTAAATAAGGTTTGACACTTCTAAATATTTGAAAATTTAATTCTGCAAGCAATTTTGGAAATAATGAATAATAGATTGTGCCACAATATTTTCATAGGGATTGTAAAATGAAAATATAGACTCCACACATGGATCGAATTTGGTATTATTATATACTAAATATACTAGATAACAACCCGCACGATGTGCGGGATGAAGTGATTCAAGTAAAATTATTATGATTAAAATTATTATTCGGGATCCAAGATCCGTTTGTGTAAAACGAAACATGTTACAATTTATTTTTTGTTTTATTCAAATTTGGGACTATTTCATAAAAGAATATGTTTTACCCGTGAAATATTTGAACCTTGAATAAAGCTTTAACGTGATAAAAAAGTATTGACGAAATGTTACCATTTATGGCAATATGTCTTTCCGTATGTTTTAAAGATTTCGAGATTTTGTAGTATAAAAAGAATTTTTTTTTTTAATAAGTATAAGAAATCCAAAATTTAGCAAAAATGAGATTTGATACTTTCCAAGCTAAGATTTTGTAGTGTTCCAAATCTAAGATTCTTAGATTATGAATGGATTATTTACGAAATGGTTATAATGTGGCCAGATTTTGGTTTATATACAAATGTGGTTACAGTTAAACCTCTATAAACTAATACTCGATAAATTAATAAACACGATAAAATAATAAATTTTGCTGGTACCAAGTCGGCTCAGTGTAAAAATTAACCAAATTCGATAAGATAATAAGATAATAATTTTTTTCAAATCCATATGTAAAAATCCATATGTAAAAATATGGTCCCAATAATATCATAAATTAATAATCATGTGAATTTATATATATATATATATAAGATAATATATTTTTAGTAGTTTTTAAAAATGAATTTCTATTCATAAAATAGCTAACTTATGTAAGTTTTCAAAATTTAAATAAGTATAATTTTTATTTGAATAATCGTATAGGCCGTTCAAATACAACAGTTGAAGTCACTATGTTACATATTTTTGTATATGTGAATTTATCTATAATCTTGATTATTATTGTTTTAGAAAAATTATCTTTCTTCTAAATATTAAATATTCAAGTCTAAAATTACCAAAGTTATAGCATCCAAAGCATTACTTTTAATCTTTTATTTAGATCAAATTATTTTTTCTCATATTTTTTTAAAAAGTTTTAAAAATTAAAAACAAAAACTCTCTATAAATTAATAAATATTAATTTACAGTATAAATTAATAATTATTAATTTATAGATAAATTAATATACTATAAATTAATAAATTATCATGGTCCCAACATTATTAATTTATAGAGGTTTACTATATAATGTTTTTCTTCGAAAAGTTAGAACTCCTCCAAAAAAATAGGATTTTAAGTATTCGTAACATATATAGATAGAAGATTATCTTATTTATTTAAGTAAAAAATTTATGAAAGATGTAAAGATTTTGTAGTTTTGAATTCGAGATTCTTGAACCAAATGTATATATTTTATCATTTAAATATAAACATAAATATAAATATAAATATAAATAAAAAAATTGTTTACCTATCCGCTACAAAAAATTTATATAAATGTATATAAAGAAACATATAAATATAAAAATATAGTAATATAAGATAATCAAAAAGTGTATGTTTTTAATTATTAATGGGATATATGGATGTATGATACTAATGGCAAATTCTGTAAATAGTCTAATAAATCTTGGGTAATTATCTAAATAGAAGCCAAATTATTGTGAGAGCGACACATCAGCGTGGCAATCTTGTTAATAACACATGATGGTAAGGTTTTTTTAAAAAAATGTTTCTCTATTAATATATAGGGGATGTTCATAACACATTCGATTATGTGAATAATTGGTAAATTCCGTAATTAGCTCAAACAAATCTCTATTTCAACAACCAATGAATTAGAATTTGAAAAAATAATTTCTTAAATTAATTCAAAATAATAGCTAACTTTTTTAACTAATTCAAAATAATCTACATTTTAGATGCGATTCATTTATGATATTTTGATTTTTGATCTAACTAAATTATATGCACTCTCATTTTGTGGTTGTTAACATAAATTAACTCATTGTTCAAACAATATTATTTTTTTGAAAATAATATTATTTTCCGTTTTCATATCTTTAAAAAATATATCCACAATTGAGGATTACAGAAAAATAAAAATATATTTCTTCTAATATAATATATATGGACTGACATAAAAAATTAATATTTTTTTTACTTACTATTATAATATATCACGATTTTATTATATAACTATATAATATATAAATTTTGTAATATATGAAATTCAACCCGTACTACAGTACGGATGATGATCTAGTGAGTTATTATTTTTGTTGCTAGTTGTTCGTTTAAAGATATAATATCAAATAAACAGATAAAGTAATGGAAAAAAGGTTGAAGGGCACACACCAATATTTAAAATAATTAAAAATTGTCTACGCATTAAAAAATTAAAATAATTAAAAATTGTCTACGCATTAAAATGTTAACGAAAAATATTTTGATTTTTTAAACCTTATAATATTTTGGCCAAAACTGAAATATGAACAAAAAAAAAGGGTTTGCAAATTAAAAAAAAAAAAACATACGTCATCATTAAGTCTGTTTCGCGGTGAGTCTCTCTTCTACGTGGCACAACCCTTACCGGAACCTCTCTATTCTCAATCAACGACCTGATTAAGGATTCGAAACGTCGTCGCATGACTTATATTATATAACTCCGCACCATTGATAATCCAACATCTCATTCTCCAAAATCTCAGGAACTCGAACTCACGAAAATGTTTCTCTTAAAGGTACGTCCTTTTTTGTCCTCTCATTACCATCGCTTGTTTGTTTCTGTCTACTGTCTGATTATAAATGGTTACTTTTGTCTGATTTTGATCTGTAGACATGGCGATCAACCGCTTTTGGGGTTTATGGCTATATGAATTTCACCAAGAATGGTTTCATGTAAGTCGAATTTGCTTGTTTCAACATTTTTCAATCCTGTGGAAATGTAAAGTTGGAACCTTTATGGATTTTGAGACTTATATGATTCATGCTGTTTCGTGTTATTTGTGAGTTTGTTGATTAGTATAACTGGAGGAATCAGAATTTCGTAGAAAGACTCAACATTTACTTTCACATGATGAAATTGATACCTTGAGGAACTCTGTTATAGAGAAGTGATTGATTTACTTGTGGTGGTTTTGGCAGAGAGCATTCGAAGAAGTTTAAACCTGAAGATATGCAGTCACAAATTGAAGGAAAGAATTGTGTGGTTACTGGAGCTAATTCTGGTATTGGTTATGCTGCTGCAGAGGGTCTTGCTTCACGGTAAGTTTCTTAGTTATCGAATTGAGGGAATCAATCGAATACTTGTGTCGAAAATTCCTCGTGTTTGTTTGCCATTTCCATGAAGGATATAGTTTAAAGTATTATCATTTTCTTGAAAGAGATCTTGTGGGAAGAGTGTTGCCAAAGTTTATAATGTCTGCTTATGTTTTTCCAGTGGGGCGACTGTTTACATGGTGTGCCGGAACAAGGAACGAGGACAAGAGGCTCTTTCTAAGATTCAAACCTCAACAGGAAATCAGAATGTGTACCTGGAAGTATGTCATCTTCTACTTTCAAATTCATTTTTTGCAAGTTTCATACTCTTTATCAACACTTATAGCTTTGCTTCTTTCATAGGTATGTGATTTGTCTTCCGTTAACGAAATAAAGTCATTTGCTTCAAGTTTCGCTTCCAAGGATGTTCCGGTTCATGTGCTGGTATGTGGTCTTTTCTTTTACTATAACTCAGCTACTTAGAACTTGTTTGATTCTGATTTTCAAATTTTAGGTTAATAATGCCGGTTTGCTTGAGAACAAACGTACTACTACACCTGAAGGGTTGGTCTCGTTTATCTTTCTTGAACGTTCCAATTTCATTTCATCTTTATTTAATTTTACACCGATATGATCTTCTGTTATACCAGATTCGAATTAAATTTCGCGGTGAATGTACTTGGGACTTACACAATGACAGAGCTGATGCTTCCACTGTTGGAGAAAGCAACACCAGACGCCAAAGTCATTACAGTTTCCTCTGGTGGAATGTACACCTCGCCGCTTACAACAGATCTTCAGGTAATCAATCTGCAGGACATGTATGTCATCTTCAGGAATTGCTTATGTTCAATTTTGTTTAACCTCTTTGGAACTGTTTGCATCACTCCTATGTCGGATCTATAACTCAGGCTACATATTGTTTCTGCAGTTTAGTGGTGAAAAATTCGATGGAGTGGAACAATACGCACGGAACAAAAGAATCCAGGTCCGTAAAATCAGAATCTTTTAGTCAAGAACCCTTTTTTGTTTGGTTTTCTGAGTTTGTTTATGTGATAATAATTAGGTTGCTCTAACAGAAAAGTGGGCTGATAAGTACAAAGAAAAAGGCATAGGGTTCTACTCAATGCATCCTGGCTGGGCTGAGACACCTGGTGTTGCCAAGAGTTTACCGAGTTTCAGTGAATCGTAAGATAATTCTGCTAAAGAAAACATCTTTTATGCTAAAGGAATCATCTTTTTTGCGCTAAAGAATGTAAACTTGTGAATCAGGTTTGCGGGTAAGCTTAGAACAAGCGAACAAGGAGCAGATACAATCGTTTGGTTAGCACTGCAGCCTAAAGAGAAGCTCGTCTCTGGTTCGTTCTATTTCGATAGAGCTGAAGCACCAAAACATCTAAAGCTTGCAGGTACAAGCAAGTCTCATGACCTTATAGACTCAGTCATTGATACTGTGCATTCCATGGCAGCTCTTAATCCTTAAATAAATGTCCATCTTCGACGTAATTTTTTTCTCTTGAAAATAAAATGTTATTGCGGGTAACAGTATTAATCTTTTCTCGTATGTGGAATTATTTTGTGCTGGATATTTATTAACTTTTACTCATTACATAGTATCAGAACAAAAGAATTACACATAGTTTTTAGCTTTGGCATAGCTATATCATGAATCTATCATCGTTTTATACCGTGTTATTCGCAAACAGTAAACATAAGTAAACAGAGAATTTACTTATTAGGATGGGTAGAAAGATAAAACTTGTGGCTTTCGAAGCCAATACTGTTTGAATCTCTGCCTCGAATACTCGATATAATCGAACTCAATCTTGTTCACATAGCCCTGCACAATCACATAAGCTTCTGAGATTGTTGTTATTTTCATCTAAAGTTACTTTGATCTGTTTTAGAGTAAGAGAGAATTAGCTTACAGAGATGATTCCCCATAAACCCCAGAAGAGATGGCTTGCCAATGTATACTTCTCAATATCATCCAAGAGCTGTTCTGTGTCTTCTTCTCTTGCTTCTTCACCTGAAGAGGTTAGGTAGTTATAGATGAATCTCCTCCTTTCTTCTTCTCCTGCATTTCCCAAACCATAGTTAAACGAAGAAAACTGAGTTTTCTTCGACTATGGAATTATAAAGATTTCTTGATTAATCACTGTACCTGGATATAGAGTGTAGTCCAAGATATGAGGAGTGTCAGAATGATAATCTGCCGCCATTTCACAGAAATGATTTGCTATGTCGTAAGCGATTGGATTGTAACTTGCATACTCATAATCCTGTTCAGATTCATTTTCACACAAACGAGATTAGACAGAGAAATGAGAAGTCTCATGTTCATCAATGTGCGATGATATTGTTTTACCTCGAGTTAATCGTACCGTAAAAAATGGGTTTTAACTTTAACACCCCATTCTGAAAAAAGGAAGACAGGTTAAGAACAATTGTGGTTATGAGTAAGAGACTTACAATGATAGTAATGGCATTGGTGTCTTCATCAATCATGATGTTACCATACTGCAAATCATTGTGACAGAAGCCAATTTCTTGTTCATTGTTCATTTCTTGTTCCAGCATGTTGATTTCATCTTCAATGTTGTCTAGACCAAACTCTGTTGAATGTTCATTTGAACACAGATTCTTGGCTTGTCCTACCCAAGTCCTGTCATTTCAATGTTCCAATGGTATTTTACTTTCATCTGGTCAAAATTTATTAGAAATAAACTTATAATTTGCAGTTTCTTACCTCATCCTGTCCCATATGAGCACATTTTGATCTCCAGGAATGTATATGCTGTGAAATCTTCTTAGCTTAGATGCAACTAGAGCTGATATGTTCGGATCACGAAGATCGGTTGCCGATAGTGTCTGAACCAAAGTTACAGATGCAAGTATTAATATTGTTACAATCTTAATGGAAAGAGATCAACAGAAGAATTTGCTAATGGAAGCACTAGTTTAAAAGGGACAGCTTCACAGCTAAACCGGTTTGGATTTTTCCCGGTTTAATAATACTCACATGAAAAAGGTAAACCAATTATATGATCGATAAGGTTTACCGGACCATAATCGTACCCAAAATTGAACCAAAAGGAAATTTAAACCGATTCGGTTTTATTAATCTTATACTCATCTAACAAATCGAAAGTGAACCAAACCGGAAGAAACTAAACAGATTAAAACCTTAATTTTCTTTAAAACGTCTTAAATATGATCTAAACTGAAACATGAACTAAATATCAATCCAAAACCGACTAGTGTTTGGTTTCAATCCGGTTTCTATCTTTCTTTCTTTTTTGAGAAACCTCTGTATATGTTAAATTCAAGCTAATCTAATAAAATTGTTGACAAAAAAAAAAAATCTGATTCTAAAATTCCATAAACCGAACAATTGAAAAAAAAAAAAACCAAACATCCGAACCGAAACCAATCTAAAAACAAGATTGGTAAGAAAAATAAAATTTGAGAAAATCAATAAAATAAAAGTGAAAGAATAAAATAATTTACCCGAGCATGGATAAACTCTTCGACTCTACCGCCGGCGAAGCGTCCAAGGAGAGTAGGACCATGGCCATGACGAGCTACATACTCAAAAGTACGAATCTCATCGTCTCTATTGAAGAAAAGCTCAACACCTTCTCCATAAACACGAACAAGAAGCTTCCTACATCGAAGATTCGTTTCTTTTCTTGGCCAACTAACCATGAACACTTCGTTAGTCATCGCTCCTTTCATTGGTTTCACTTCAAGACTCTCAAAATCCTCAACTACGTCTCCCCATTTCGTCGAAAGTGCTTGAAGAATCTTCCTTAGCTCGTCTGGTGATGAGCTTGGGATCAATCCAAAGATTCCTATCCCCATCTAGAAGAAAAACAATGTCAATTTCTTTGTTTCTTGAAATAGAAGTACTCTGTTTTTTAACTTTGTTACTTAATTTGTGATCAAGAAGTCACTGATCAAACTTGGCAAGAAGAAGAAGAGACTTACCAAGAAAGTTGCAGATGATCTTGGAAAAAAATCAGAGAAAGAAAAAATATGTGTTTTTTTGGGTTTTTGTTGGAGAGAAGTCTTGGTCACAAGGAAAGAAAAATTGCATGGTGAATGAGAGAGGTGTTGAAAGAGAGTATTTATGGACTTTTGTCTTTACACAAGAACGGGAATATCTATTTCTTTGTCTTGGTGGGTTGGATTTGAGAGGACCGAGACACAAGTAAAGAAAAAATGGTATTATTTTGTAAAATTTTAAATATTTTATACGCATGAAAAATCTATCAAACTAGATAGCAAATACTTGGATTTTTTTCTAGGAAGAAACAGAAATTTTTGTTTGATTTGGTAGAGGTGAAAGATAAATTTGGAGCAGGTTATTAATTCTGAATATTATTTACATTTTTGTTATTAAATAAACTTTTGTTTGTCACTAAGTTATATTATATAAAAGAATTTAGACATTCAAGCCGGTGATACAAAGCATACAAATTTCATGTTATGTGAAAACCGTCTTGCGTTATGTGTTAAAACACTAAGGGGGTGTTATTGGTTTATTAATTTGTAAATCCATATAGAATTTGAAATTTTCTATTAATTATGAAATCAAGATATATGGATTTTGAAATAACATGTGTTTACCCATGAATTTGAATCCTTCTATTTTTCTCTTTCAATTCCATTCAAATCCATTTAAAGCATGTTTATAAAGTTTTGACTCTCAACCAGAGCATGTTTGTAAAACATGTAAGTTGACAACAAAATCTACTAAATTTTATGTTACGAATTAAAGTATTTTTCAGATAAAATTATGTAAGTTAATAAAATAAAAAAAATTCAATGTATTATTCGGGATTGATCTGGATGGTGATACAACGACAATATTAACACAAACGATTATATTAAATATCTTGATCTAATTTTTAGAAATATTTCAATAATATATTAAAATATCCTTATTTAATTTTTACATTTCTAGAACACCTCTAATAGAGGGACTGGTAAGATGCGATTGTACCAACAATATTACACCAAATCTTTTGATCAGAACACTCCTATGATCCTATCAAATGACGAAAGTAGAATTATAGAAATGAAAATAGTACTAGAAACATGGCTAGAAGATGATAAGCACAACGTCAACAAGTATAAGGTGCATTATTTGACCGCAAAAAAGTACCAATCAACATAATTAATGGCATTTACATTATTGTACCAGTTGGGCCGAAATAAATCTTATAATATATCAGATTACCATGATTAGACAATGACATTTTCAAAGAGTCTTGAAAGTTGAAAGCATTTTAACTACTTTTAGAAGTTTTAGCTAAGAGTTTCAGAAACAGATAACCTATAAATTTTACTCCTTCCATTTCGTTTTATTTATCGTCTTAGAGTTAAAATTTATATATATATATATATAACTTGTCGTTTTGTATTTACAATGTATATTTACGATAAATTTTTCAGTTTTATCCATATTTTTAAAGCTTATTAATTATTTATATCAAACAAATTAGAGTATTAATTGGGAGTAAAACAATACATTTAATTGTTTTCTTAATTTATATGAAATCAACTAGAACGAAAAGTAATATAAAATGGAAGGAGTATATATTTCAACATTAAGAAGGGCTGGTCATTGTGATTCAAGTCTAGGTCGAGTTAAGTTTATAATATAGTTAGTCTATTTTCTAAACTACCCTAATCAGTTTTGCTTGTTTCTTTTTGGTTTAAATTTTATGCATAGTTCTTAGTTCGATATAACATACTTTGGTATGTTTACACATAATGTAAAAAATTATGGGCGGTGAGTGAGTGAGACAGACAAAAGTAGGTAATGACTAAATGAGTAAGAAGGTAGGCGTCAGTCAACAGAAACGGACATTTTGCTGCTGATTTTCAGACAGAGAAGCTTCGTTACTTATTTTATCTCAGAGTTAAATTGCAAAACTCAACTTGGATTCCACTTGCTTACTAAACAAATGAGAACACGACACGTTAGTGTACCACTCTTTGAACAAGATAACATTGAGCATTTTTATATGATACAATAAAAAATTTCAGCAAAACAAACTTCCAAATCACAATTTTTTTTTTACTAATTTACCTTTATGTCTAGAAAATATTAATTAATTATAAAAAATCAAAATAATACGCAATATAACTTTCAATAGTATTTTCTAAAAATTATCGCGATCACATATATTAGAATTTCAAAAATTTTAAAGTGGATTCGAATTCTTCGTCGCGAAAACTTAGAATTAATATACTATTTATCAAAAGTTTACAAATTTAACGGTGATGACGAATAGAGGTTATACTGCGTATTATTTTTGAATCCGCGAAATTAACTTGCATTTTTTAGATGAAAGATAAAACTATAAAAAAACGACTTGAATTTTTTTTTCCGAGAATCTTACAATAAAAGAAACTTATAACTAATTTTCATGATGAACTGATGATTGTTGAAAAGAAAATAGAATTGTTTTTCTAAGAGAACCCCTGTGTGAAATGTTTTGTTATTTAAAGTATTTCTTTTGTTTTAAATGGTGCAAGTATCATCAATAATCCGAAATTTTGGATGATAATTTATTTTGCTAGAAATACTTATGACTCCACGTAATGTGAGAATCAAGTCAAAAGAGTTGAAAAATGGATACTTAAGACTTAACGTCTGGTTGAGAACCAAGATTCCCCTTAAGAGTCATTATATATTTTCTTTAAATAATGGGATTCTTAAATAATTCGTAATGTTTTGGCTTTTGTTCAACAAATTTTGATCCTCCACTTCTCTTTCAACCGTTTATCCTTATGATTATTCTTTTGATTTTGCAACTTTACCATTATATTCTTTAAGAATTGTTGTTTCGTAATCATGTTTTCCACTACCTTTTGTTGTCAATTTCGTCCATAAAAATATGCAGAATATATTCCGTCAAAACTTTAAGGGTGAAAGAGACAATGGATTTGTTGTGAAAAATGGCTTAACGATTTTAGGCAGATTAGAGTGTTGTAGAGGGGTTGTAACGGAAATGATTAGTACATTGGCAGGTTTGGTGGTAAAGTTTGGACGCGAGACTAAAGGTCTAATGTCGGAAGTAGGGCTGGGCATAAAATCCGAAATCCGAAAACCGACCTGAAACCGATCCGAAAAATCCGGAACCGAATCCCAACCGAATAGTCGTCACAAAACCCGAACGGATAATGAATTCTCCTATCAGAATTACCCGAACCGAATCCGATCCGAACCGAAAACCGAAAGGATATCCGAAAACCGGAAATAAAATTATATATCCAAAAATATTAGTTATATTTAGTTGTAATTTTATAACAAATAACAAAAATATTCTAAATAACCTAGATTTCATAAATTTAGTTATATTTGTTAAAATTATACATATTTTTGCAAAATTTAACCAAAGTTTAGTAAGATTAAAACCAATTTTTATTTAAATTATACAATTTTTTAGTTTTTTCCCCCGAAAACCTATCCGAATCCGACACCTATCCGAACTGAAACCGAACCGATGACTCATAAAATCCGAGCGGATAATAAAATCTCCTACCCAAATTATTCGAATCCGAATATATCCAAACCGAAACCGAACCGAAAAATCATAAAATCCGAACGGATAATAAACTCTCATATCCGAATTATCCGAATCCGAATATATCCGATCCGAATCCGATCCGAAATCCGAATGCCCAGGCCTAGTTGGAAGTTTATGACATTATTTAATTGGAGATTGTTAAAAGTTTTAACAAAATTGCTAAGTTTTCTTATAATTAGTCGAACATAGCCTTCCACTTTTTTTTTTTTTTTTTAAATACCATGAGGTTCTGGGCCAAAGCCCGTAATTTCCCTAGGATCGAAACTACACCATGTAATATTAGTTTCGTCTCAAGCGTAATTCGAACCGGCGACTTCTAAGCTTCTCTTATGCATTGCATTGAGTTGAATACCTTGTTTTATCAGCGAACTTTTGGGTTATTGAATGCTTAACCCCGAGTCCGAGACTTAGGTCTTAAGACAGGTGTAACACTTATCTCTTGAAGAAGTCAGGAGACTCCGAGGCACACTCGTCCTCGAGGCCTTATTCGAAGTAGGGTTCGGCTGCTAGGCCTCGCAATCTTTGTACTTTGCAACTGCACCTTCTTCACTGGAATATCTCTTTGACAAGGGGAAAAATAAACCTGAATTTCCTTAGAACGAACCGAAGCTAATTAGTGGCTGATTTCATGTGACCACTACATATTTAGTCTTTTTCGTAGGAATAAGAACAGTAGATTGTTTGATAACAAAAACAAGTTGTTGATCAAACTAAAGTCTCATTGTGTTGTGTAATGTACAAGACATCAAAAACAACTGCTCCAGTGCTGATTAAATGACCGAATTATAGAGCTTTGATTAAGAATACCTTCCCAAATTGTACAAATATTCTTACATAATCAGTCAACAATAACATCAATATATTTTAACAAACTAAAATTAAAAAAAAACAATAAAACAGAAAAGAAAAGAAAATAGCAAAGGCGACTTTTTGTTGCTTACAAAAGAAAGATGTATGCAAAGAAAGAGAGAGGTAATAAGAGTCATTAGATAGAGTCGACAAACATCGTCTCAGAGACACAAAGCAGAGTAGTTTCAAGAATAATGGAGTCTTCCACAAGGTACCCTTTTGATTCATCATTTAGATCCTCCACAGATATTAACTCCGATATCCCTGATCCGTCTTGAGTTTCTCTCGAATAAAAATGAAAAACTATACACAAACATCACACATAGTCAGTCTTTAAGGATGTCATATCGATTTTTCTACGCGTTAAAAAAAGAAATAGTTTGATATGTACCGCGTTTCTCAATGTGGTTAGAATTTTTCTGATTTATCAGCCGAAGTTTGAGCTTTGCGTAAGTGCTAGAAGCTACGGCATTTGGCAGATATTCCATGGCTTGAACATAGACTGAAAGTGCTCTTACCTTTTTGTCTCCCTTTGGACTAATCTTCATTCTCCTTGAAAATATCATAATACCACAGAATAAATATTTTCGATTAATCAGTATCGAAAACTAGCGATTAAGCATTATACTAATGAATAAAAACTCACCATTTTCTATCTCCGACCACAAATTCATCCGAGTAATAATATCTTTTGTCTCCTATTTTTGAGAAATGAGAGATTTTCCAGGTGAATTTGTTTTCTGGTGGGTTTTGTGTGAAGGTAACCCTCTCCACCTTCTCTCTCGGCTTTATAACAAATATCTCCACCCCAACGATACAAGCATTTCCATCGATGTACCCATTTTTCGGGTCGTTAAACTTCGAAAGAAGAAGCATTTGTGCTAATCCCCACTCTTTTTTCTCCTTACTATAATGCTTCATAGTTCCATCTACACATATATATATATATACACACACCATAAACATAATTCTGTCCAAGTAGTATCTTAATTCTTTCATTTGACAGATTTGACAAAAAAAACCGGCAAAATCGATCACAATGTAGCTGTATAAATCGATATATCTTAATAAAAAGTGTGTTTATAAATATGTTCATACCTTGGAAAACAGAGTATTTCTTGGCGTTGTGATTGTAGATGAAGAACTTGAGTTCTACATCAATCTGCATCTCAGAAGCACCAACATTTTCGATCCTTGCATAAATCGAAACATGGTCTTTTCCACCTTCTTCTACCTTTCCAGCCGGGTAAAATATCAATCTCCTGATTAGATTTATCATTGTTACATTGATAAATCACACATAAACAAATCATACATAAGAGTTATATGAAATACATAGGAGATCTTAGATTGGGTTGACTATACCATTTATGTCCCCCAGCGTCGAAATCAGCAGATTGATAAGGTTGATGACTGAATTTAACCTCAGAGAAACCAACCAGCTTCATCAAGTAGCTTGAAGGAGCCTCCTCTCTTAGGGTTTCCATGATGATGAATTTCTTTGGACAAAAGATTGTTGACTTCAGAGTTTTGTATATGTATGGAAGCCAGAAATGAGATTTGCATATATAGAAGAAAAGAGATCTAGTAGCAATAGAGAAAGACATTTTCTTTAGAAACAATAAAATATGACTGAACAGAGTCATTGACTTTTTAGACAAGTCTTTGTTTTGAGTTTTACATGCTAGTGTTCTGTATTTAATTTGATCATATTCTTTGACTCACTTCATCTTGTAATTAATTTTCATTTTTAACCAAACAAATTAATATATGTAAGTCTAGATATAAAAAGTGTAACAGCATCAAAAGTAAAAGAAGAAATCTTATAAGAAATCTGTATTATGTTTTAGAGCATTGTTCTTCTACGGAGATGATTTGTAAGAAAGAGAATGTCCTGAGACTTAAGCTGAGGAAAACAGAGGAAACAGAACATGAAAATTAGTCCAAAGTTAGGTTTGGTGGAGACGGTTTAAGGTTTTTGAAAAAATGCTAAGCTATGTAATTAGTTGAATATAGCCTTCCACCTTTTTAATCTTCTCTTATGCATTGCATTGAGTAGATAACTTGTTTTATCAGCGAACTTTTGGGATATTGAATGCTTAACCTAGAGTCCGACTCCGAGACTTAGGTCTTAAGACAGGTGTAATACTTATCTTCGACCATTCTTGAAAAAGACTGGTTAAACCATCAGCAAAGGCTAAGGAGATACATGGTCAAATCACAGGTCGTGAAAAGGGTAGAGATCGTGGGAAACAAGGTAGTCGTGGCTAGTGGTTTCCAACATCCTAAGCTTTAAGTCAATCGAAGCAGAAGATTTGATTGTATTTTTGCATCTAATGCATCTCTTTCTACTACTTGTAATTTCTTTGTAAAACTGTATGACTTTGGCTTGTTCAGTTTGTAATCAATAAGATTTTGAGATTTAAAAAAAAAAACAAAAAAAACAATAGTAGCCCTTATTGGAGAAACATTCAAAAAGGTGTTGATCAAACTAAAGTTTCATTGTGTGTTGTGTACAAGACATCAAAAACAACAGCTCCAATGCTAATCGAATGACGGAATTATGGAGCTTAGAAAACCTTCCGAAATCGTATAAAGATTTTTAGATAATACCATTACTTTTACTTAATTCACACTCAATATTCAAGCACATTACATGACACAAAACATTATTGGGTCAACAACAACATCAAAATATTTTAACAAAAAAAAACAATAAAACAGGAAATAAGAATACCAAATGAGACTTTTTGTTGCTTACAAACCAAAGATGTATGAGAAGAAAGAGAAAGGTAATAAGAGTCTTTAGATAGAGTCGACGAACTTAGTCTTAGTGACACAAAGCAGAGTAGTTTCAAGAACAATAGTGTCTTCCACAAGGTACCCTTTTGATTCATCATTTAGATCCTCCACAGATATTAACTCAGATATCCCTGATCCATCTTGATTCTCTTTCGAATAAAAGCGAAAAACTATACAAAAACATTACACAAAGTCAGGCTTTAAGGATTATCATATCGATTTTTCTACCCATCAAAAAATATATATAGTTTGATATGTACCGCGTTTCTCAATGTGGTTAGAGTTTTTCTGATTTAGTAGCCGAAGTTTGAGCTTTGCATAAGTGCTAGCAGCTACCGCGTTTGGCAGATATGCCATGGCTTGAACATAGACTGCAAGTGTTTTTATCTCTTTGTCTCCCTTTGGATTATTTATCTTCATTCGCCTAAAAAACATTTTCCATTTATCAGTACCAAAAACAAGCGACCAAATTTGTATTATATATTAATGCATCAAAACTCACCATTTTCGATCTCCGACCACAAATTCATCCGAGTAATGATATTTCTTGCCTCCTAGTTTTGAGAAATCAGATATTTTCCAGGTGAATTTGTTGTTAGGTGGGTTGTGTGTGAAAACAGCTCTCTCCACCTTCACTATCGGCTTTGTAACGAATATGTCCACCCCAACGATACAAGCATCTCCATCGGTGTACCCATTTTTTGGGTCGTTAAACTTCGAAAGAGGAAGCATTTGGGCAAATCCCCACTCTTTTTTCTCTTTATTGTAACGCTTCACAGTTCCATCTACATATATATACGCACCAAAAACACAAGAACTAATTCTGACAAAAGCAAATTCTTTGTTTTGAAAGATTGGATTTACCGGCAAAATTTATCACATAAAAAGTGTGTTATAAATATGGTCATACCTTGGAAAATTGAGTATTTCTTGACGTTGTGATTGTAGATGAAGAACTTGAGTTCTACATCAACCTCCCAATTGTTCATAAGCATCTCAGAAGCAGCAACGTTTTCGATTCTCGCATAAATGGAAACATGGTCTTTTCCATCTTCTTCTTCCTTTCCAGCAGGGTGAAATATCAATCTCCTAATTATGTATATCATTATTTCATTGATAAATCACACAAAACAACACATATATAAGAGCTATCAAATACATAGGAGATCTTAGATTTGGTTGACTATACCATTTATGTCCAGAAGCGTCGAAATCAGCAGATTCATAAGGTTGATGACTTAATCTAACCTCAGAGAAACCCACCAGCTTAACCAAGTAGCTTGAAGGACCCTGCTCTCTTAGAGTTTCCATGATGCTGACTTTCTTTGGACAAAAGTTTGTTGACTTCAGAGTTGTGTATGTATGGAAGCCAAAAATGAGTTTTGCATATATAGAAGAAAAGAGAACTAATAGCAATAGAGAAAGACTTATTCTTTAGAAGCAATAAAATATGACTGAACAAAGTTATTGACTTTTTAAACAAGTCTTTGTTTTTTGAATTTTATTCATGCTAGTGTCCCAATCGTGATGGAGACCCTAAGGAAAAGACTCAAAGGATCTTCAGAATGAAAAATGTATTCGTGTTTAATTCTACAGAATTTATGAATTTAATTTATTTCTCTTTATTATTTTTGATTATTAAAACTAAAAACATTATTAAAATTAATTATGAAAGACGATACTAGATTTAACATCAATTATGAATAATTGATAGAAATATTTGACATCAACTATGAGTACGATTAAATTGCCCCAATTTACTTTGGATAGCTTCGACAACATTTCAAGATCTTTCCTTACCTGATAAAATTTTTGAATGGTCAAATATGAAATATACAAATATTTTATTGTTATAAGTAAAGGAGACTGCATTCTTTTTATTTATTAAAAAAAAAAAAAAAAAACTCAAAATCAAAACCCTAAACGTATAAGGTCAAGTTTGTACCCAAGCGAGACACAAAGAAAAAAATCTCAAAAAATGAGCAAACCTGATATAGAGATTAGGATGGAGGAAAGAGATGTGTATCTTCCAGAAGGAATAGTGATAAACATAATCGCAAGATTACCACTACAAAGTATTGTTAGATTCAAGCTGGTGTGTAAAGAATGGAAATCACTTATGGAGTCTGAATTTTTCCGTGATCTCTACCAAAGTAACTCCAATTGGTCGATCCTTCACGGAAGTTATAGATGTATAAATTCTTGTTTGGAGGAATTAGAACTCAATCTACCAAGTGAGTCATGCCATGGTAATTCTAAATATTGGTCTTTTCCAAGTGGACTGATCCACAAGTATACTCAAAACAACAATAAAGTCAAAGAGATTTGGGTTGTCGCTTGCGCTGATGGGCTGGTTTTGATATGTCTGTTCGAGGAGGACATGACGAAACGTTACTACATTGGTAATCCTGTGTTAACACAATGGGTTCAACTATCTTCTCCTCCTTATCTTCCTCAATACCATTATCATTTCATTGATTTGGGACTTGTCACACGAATGCACAATGGTGCCCTCTTGGGTTACAAAGTGATTCGAGTATATAGCGAAGCACGACACCTGGCTGTTTCTAGAACCTGGACATTTCAGATTTATTCGTCGGATATGGGAAAATGGAGTGTTCAACACGTCTCTTGTCCTGGCCAGGGTGTGTCACAACTGACATCTAATCCCGTTTCTTTGAATGGGAAACTTCACTGGTTCCAATTAGCTATGGTTGTGGTTGTGGTTGTGGTCGCCGGCGATCTCCAAAAGAACATGGCCTTAGTAGCTTGGAAAAAAGTTTGTTTATCCAAAGGAGAAGGTGGACTTGGAATCCGTTCAGCTAAAGAGATGCATTTAGCACTTGTTGCTAAGATTGGTTGGCGAGTTCTCCATGACCAGAAGAGTTTATGGGCTCGGGTTTTTAGAAGCAAATACAAAGTTGGGAGTTTACATGATACTAAGTGGACTGTGGCGAAAGGAAGTTGGTCCTCAACCTGGCAGAGCGTGGGTATTGGTTTGAGAGAGGTGGTGTGCCAAGGTCAAAGCTGGGTAGTTGGAGATGGTAATAAAATTAAGTTCTAGACAGATAAATGGTTATCAGGGAAGTTACTTATTGGAGCTGTGGAAAGTGTTAGTTGGGGAAAAAAAATTTTTGCCCCAACTAACACATAATTTCTTTTCCCGGGTTTGGAGGGTAGTAGCTCCAGAAAGGGTAAAAGTATTTATTTGGTTGGTGACTAATCAAGTTATTATGACAAACGCAGAGAGGAAGAGGAGACAAATTGGTGATACTGATATTTGCCAAGTGTTTAAGGGAGGTGTGGAGACCGTCATACATGTGCTTCGAGATTGTCCACCGATGGCGGGGATCTGGAATCGAATTGTACCTATAAGAAAGAGACATGTTTTCTTTAACCAATCTTTGTTAGAGTGGCTCTTTGAGAATTTGCGTGCAGGTACCAATTCGGAGGCAGGAGATTGGTCCACCACATTCCCAATGGCGGTATGGTGGGGTTGGAAGTGGAGGTGTAGCAACGTTTTTGGTGAAAACGGCGTGGGAGCACCGAGTTACACGGTTAGTACTGGAAGTAGATTCGAGTTTGGTGGTTGGTTTTCTTATGACAAAGATTGGGGATTCTCATATGTTGTCTTTCCTTGTACGCTTGTGCCATGACTTCATTTCAAGGAACTGGATAGTCCGGGTTACTCATGTGTATAGGGAGGTTATCCGTATTGTTAACGGGTTAGCTAACTATGCGTTCTCTTTGCCTCTTGGTTTCCATGCTTTTGTTTCGGTTCCTGTTGTTGTTGATTCAATTTTAAGAGACGATGTTATTGGAACTATGTTTCCAAGACAGCTTCGGATGTAATACTTTTTCTTTTTCTTAATAAATTCAGGGGGAGTTTCCCCTGGTGCACACCAAAAAAAAAAAAAAACATCAGTTAATAGAAATTGATAGAAATATTTTGCATCACTTACTATAAACTTAGCAAATCCTACCATCAATTATAGAACAATTCTTGGGTTCATTCTTAGGGGTGAACAAAAAAGTTCAAAGCGACATTTAGAATCAGAATCTTCCATATAATAATAAAAAATTAAACTCATTTCATTAAAAAATCTAAACTCTAACCACTTCCTTGTAAATCCAAACCGACATAATACAAAATCTAGATCCTAATCCTCGTTTATAAATCCAAACCGATATTTAACTTTGTTTAATTGTAAAATCTAAATCCTAACAATTTTTTATAAACCAAAACCGATATTTAAGCTCGTTTAATTGTAAAATCTAAACCCGTTTATAAATGCAAACCAATATTTAACTTCTTTTAGATATAAAATTTAAACTCTAATCTTCTCTTATGAACTCAAACCGATAAATAACTTGGTTTTGGTAGCAAATTAAATTTTACAAACAATTAAAGGAATTTAGTTTTTTTATTAGACGGCAGATTCTGATTGGTTAGAAAAAAAAAGTGAATAAAGGGATTCACCTCTAGGGATGAAATCAAATATTTTATCAATTATATTAGCCTATACATAGTTAGCATTATTTTTTTAATCGATATAATATAACATCGATTATAATAGTTATGCAAATATTTATTTTAATCGATGCAAAATATTTCCATAATCACTTATATAAATGATGTAAAATTTATTTGTATCAATTATAAGTAATAAAAATATTAAAAATTAAGTGACACGAAACACCATTTTGTTTTGTAGAGATTTGATTAAATGTCCATAAAATAAATAAAATTATGTGTCTTTGGTAAACTATTAAAAAAATAAATGATATTGCATGTAAAAAAAATCTACGTTAAAACAGTGGTTTTTTTTCTGAAACAAATATGTTGTAATGCAATATTGGTCGAAATGAAAAAAATTTGGTTTATAACATACTTTTTTATATCTTATTTGGCCTCCAATATTAATCGTATCTTAATCATCAAATAACCAACCGTATTTAACTCATGTAATTGTAACTGTATTTAACCGTAACCGTGTATATAATGGTTAAGGTTACGGTTAAAGAAAATTGATAACCGTAACCGGTGGTTAATCAACCGTAACCGTAATAACCGTAACCGTGGTTATGCCTATGTGAATGTTGACATGGCTTTAACAAAAATAATTTGTATTTGCACATATTTTACATGTAATTGCATGTCTTTATATTGTGATTGTGTGAAATCAAATACATAGTTTTGTACGTATGCATGGTCAAATGTTTATATTTTTCTAGAAGTTAGACATATTTTTTACGTATGCATGGTCTTAATACCGTTTTCCGAAAGATTATGATTGATTACTATACAACATGGAAAAAATGTAGAAAATTAATCAATTGATAGATTGGTATATTACAAAAAAAAAAAAAAGGACTGGTACATTCCAACATATCAAAAAAAAGAATGATAACTTAATATACATAAATGTAAACTGATTTATTAAATATAAGAAATTTGAATTTTTTTTCTGCAAGAAGTTCGGACTATATATTTGACCTGCAATATCGGATCTATCACCTAGTTAAACTCTTATAAATTATAATATTACTTTCAAATATTAAAAAAAAAAAAATCTAAACGTGTTTCAGTGTTTGGATAAGGTTTCTTCGTGTAATTTTTCATATAAATAAGACCTATGCCCAAAACTCTGTTACCACCTTTTCACCATCTTTCGTTGAGAGAAGCTCGTATCATCATCATCATCATGACTCAGTATGTGACTCGACGATCACAAATCCCAGGGTCACGCTTCACTCCCTCAAACCTGGAGCTCATAAACTACCTTCGCCGGAAAAAAGAAAGAGGGAAAAGCTCTTCTTTCATACCCGACATGGATGTGTACGAGGAAGTACCATGGCTTCTTCAGCACGTAAGACACTTTAGATCCAAAGAGAACGAGTGGTATTACTTCGTTACTAGAAGAAACCGAACTGTGGGCTGTTTTACATGGAGGAGTACTACTAAAACTTCGATATATAAAGATGGTGTCACTGTCGGATATATGCGGAGTCTGGCTTTCTCACTTGACGGCATGGCTACTGGTTGGGTCATGCACGAGTTTTTATTGAATCGTTCGGGAAAAGAAAAAGTGGTTCTGTGTAGAATCAGGTTTACCCTTAGAGATGACAATTCTCAATATGCTCCAAGATTTGAATCTAGAGTCATCGGACAACCACAGCCGCCGCGGCGTGAAGAAGCTGCACGGGAAGATGGTTTAACGTTGGTAGAGAATAAGAAGAACAATCTTTATGTTGGCATAGCGTCTGGTTCTTGTCCTAGAGAGGATGTGTCTGCTCAAAGTCAACAGTTTATGAGACAACAAAATAGTTGTTTCAATCCTAACTTTGTCGAAAATCTAAAAGCTCAGCAACAACAACAATATTTAATACATGACTCAAATTTCACGGTGACTCAAAAAGGCATGATCAAACATCAAGAGTTTGGCTCTTCCGGTGAAAGTTCAGGAGGAGATTTGGCTCAAAACCATCTCTTAGTGGTTCCTTTGGAGACTCAACAAGGCATGGAACCGCAACAACAAGAAAATGTTGTTGAAAATCAAACAACGGACCCCTCATACTTGACTCAAGGACAGAAGCAGCAACATTGTGAACAAGCCACGGATCTTCCAATCAACCAAGGCACTGATGAACCACATAGAAGCACTACAAGCTCTTTTAGTCACAACGAATTGATCCAACAATCTCTCGGAGAAATGGATAAGATGGCTAACTTTGAGAAATGGGCTCAACAAGATCTTGGAGACATGGATGATATGGCTAACTTTGGGAATGCAGAATGGGCTCAACAGCTTGGGGAAAACACACCAGAAGAAGAAGCTGAGTTACAAGCTGAACTCGGAAACTGCAAAACCACCGCTTCTCTCTTTAACTACTTCTGCCCAATGTAGTTTAATAATCCTTTTTTCTGGTTTTCCTCTGTTTCTGGATGATCTAAAACATATTAAAGTTTTCGTTAGATCAAAAGTGTTAAAAGATTACTTCTTTTTACTTTTGATGCTGTGACACTTTTGACATATCGATCCACAAATTTCTAACTGTAATAATATGATAAAATGGAAATACATAACACTAGCATGTAAAACTCAAAACAAAGACTTGTCTAAAAAGTCAAGAACTCTGTTCAGTCATATTATAAAAATATTATAAAATGGAATGGTTATATGTTTTCATTAATAGTGGATTTTTTAAAGTAGTTTTGTTAATCACTATGTCAATAATATTGAATTTTTGGTGATGTTTCACGGTGGAAACTGGAAAGAGTATAGAAGTTTCAAAGAATTCAACAAAGAGAAATTGGGTATGAGAAAGCTTTTTTCCTTACATATGCAGGAAACCTTTAAGTTTGCAATCTTCACAGTTAATCAAATATATATTAATTATGATTTGCAAGTTATCATATACAATATTAATGCAAATGATTTCCAAGTTATCATATACAATTAACACATGTGGCGATTCAGTTTTAGAATTTTGACATATGATTTTTTTTAATAGAAATGAATTTCTAATTCAATAAAATTTCGAAATGTATGTGAAAAAGTTTAAGAACAATTAAATATAAATTAAAATCATGCCATTTAACGACATCACTAGTAATCAAGCTAGGTTTATAAACCCAACTCACCAAGTCACCAGAATCAAAATGAAACCCTAAATCAAGCTCAAACATAATTCAGCAAAATCATAACCTAGTTAAAAAGTCTTATTAAAATATCAAACTCTGATCCGGTTAACGCCGGTCCTAAGCAGAAGAAGATTTAGAAGGATCAAAGATTTGACCAGCAAACAAAACAGTTCCCGTAATGTCTTCTCTAATCAAGAAAAGAAATGGATGATCTGCCACAAAATCTATCATCTTTGGAATATACTTGCAGCCCATGGCACGTAGAGCAGTAGCGGCTGCAGCTTCAGTACCTTCTTCATCAATCTCAATCAAAGCTTTTTGGTAGAATGCTACATTAGGCTCAAAGTCATTGAAAACTTTTAAAATTTCAAACCCGAAATCGATCTTAAACTTTGGGATTCTGAATTCACCAACTTTAACTCTTTCTCTTGGAATGTGATTATCCAAGAATCCAGGAATAGAAGTTATTCTCTCCAAAAGATTATCCAGTTCACCTTTCTTGTCCGGGAGATAGAAATACATTGAGAAGTTTCGGTTGGTATCATCATCGCCTTGTCGATAAGCAAGGCTAAGGACCTTGAAACCATCATAAGCCTTAATGTACTGGTCCTTATAGCTTCTCATGAATGGCACAGACACTGTGGTTCCACTGAGAAGGTGAAAAGGTTTGTGTTTTGTCATAGACTTATCGAATTTCTTTTTCCAGGCTCCCTTGAAGTACAATGCGTTTCCGTAAATCTGTATGGTTTCATCTGTAACGGATCCAGAAGGAAGAAGTTCTTTGATGAGACCATTGGTGTGACGTGAAGCCCAAGAGTTCACCTCCTCACGCACTTCTTCGGCCTTCAAAACAACAAAAACCATAACCGAACCGAACCAAATATATGTTTCTCTAAGCACTTAGTTATACAGTTTCACACAAGTTCTTGACCTAATCTAACCAAAGCAAGTTCAAATATATATTTATGGAGAAGGAGAAAACAGAAACTAACCTTGTGTAGGAAATCAACTTGAGCGTAAGTAGCCTTGAAGAAATTCTCAAAGAGATCTTTCGACTCGGGACTACACGAAAGTGATTGCTCTATCCACACTCCATTAACCGACGCAATTTTTGGCCCACCTCTTTTGCTTCCGTCAACGAGGACGACCGAAGCGATTTCGCTGAAAACTGCGTTGAGTTCTTCAGTGGAAGAAGACCTAAGGAAGGAGAGGATGAAGGATCTTAGTGTTTCGCTGTCGGTGGTAGCAGCGGTCATGGTGAGAACAGAATTGATAGATGCCGGAGAGAAGACGAAGTTAGAGTTTTTGGCTACGGCAGAGATTACTTTCCCTGCAAGGAACAGAGCAACGTCGTTTTGCTTGTTCATCGCTCCTTTCACATCCATCTTTTGCTTTTTCTTCGTCTTTGAGAGAGAGGGCTCTGCTACTTCTGATGTGCTAAGATTTGGGTTCTTCCTTTTTGAATCCATCTTTTAAGTTTTCGTCTTTGAGAGAGAGGGCTCTGCGACTCACATACATGTGTTTATATATACAAGATATAAGAAACCTAGTTTAATTTCTAACCTAGATGGCTAGATAGAACTAGGGTTTGGTGCATCGTCGAGTTAATTAATTAGGATCATTTCTTATAATAATCTGTTAAGAGAACAAAAATGTAAAAACATCTTATTATAGATTTAATTTGGAAAATAATAAAAACATATTATTATAGATTGGAAAATAAAACTGTCTACCATATATTTTCTTATGGTAAAATAAGTGATTTTATATTGAATAAGTGATTTAAATTTATTATATATTTCTTATAAAAATGTTATATATTATAAATAAATTTCAAGTGAAGTGTCTAAATATGATATTTCTCATAAATATTATAATGAGTATGTGTCAATTTCTGTTTAATAATATTATAAAATTTATTATCATTGACTTTAGGACCACTTATATTATATCCAGTGTTCTAAAAAGCGGTCTAGGCGGTCGCCTAGGCCCCGACTAGGCGCTAGGCTCTTATGCGAAGCCTAGATAACCGCCTTGACCGCATAAAATCACAAAGATCTTGTTTAATGTATTTTTTTCAATTTCAATTAGAGTTTTATTTATATATATAGTTATAAATATTCATATATTGTTTAATATAAATATATATAAATGTTTTATCTAGTTTTTGTTTATAATTTCATAATTTTTAGTTTTATATAGATATTTTATATAACTTTTATATATAATATCATATTTATAATGTTTTATGTTATAAACGTCTAAACCGCCTAAAAAATCGCCTAGGCCCCGATTAGGCGTTCTAGGCGCTAGGCTTTGGATCACCGCCCGCTTAGCGCCTAGCGCTTTTTTGAACACTGATTATATCCAATAAATAATTTACTTTTAAAGGTTTTTTTTTGGAAAATTTTTCTTTACTTTTAAATTTAAATATATTTTAATTAAAATATAATATTAATTTCTAATATATAACATCTCTTAAAATTTAATTTAAACAAAAAAAACTCTTCAATTTAAGACTATTTAGTATTATTTTTTTGAAATATCTAGTACTAGTAACTGACAAGTACATTTCTAAACTTCACCTTAGAGTTTCAAAATACATTTTTCTCTTATCTAATGTCGTTTTGATTGTTCATGTATGTGCTTGTTTTATTTTGTCAAAGAAATATGGGGAGCCCACAGGCTGACGCCCGAAGCACACGCAGTTGCCAAGGCACGCCGTATGTATGTGCATGCTTGTTGTTTTGAATTATCTAATCATCAAGATTCAGCCGACGCTGAAATAAGTAAGCATCTATTTCTATTTCAAAAGTCTCCGGGATCATAAACACCAAGCGAGGACATGAAGACCATAGATTTTTGGTGAGGTTTGTAATTTTCATTGACATCAAGACATTTATGATCTCGAAGAAGAACAAATGAATATGATTAAAATTTAATTGCTAAAAACTTGGGTTTAGCGGTTTTGATTTATATTTTACTAGTTTTTTTCCAAAATTATCTTTCTTTTTAGGCATGTTATCTTGGGAGATTTCAACATTTTCGTCGGCTTAGTTTTTCAGGGATATTGACTTTTTCCTTAGGTGTATGTAAATTTACCAATTTTTAAATAAAATTTACAATGACAAAAAATATGTTTACAAATCATGTCGAAAAGACGAAAATGTTTAATTTGCTTTCAAACCCGAGAAACTAGAGATACTTTATTCAAGATCATATGATTAGGGTGGGAAAAAACCATAACCCGAAAAACCGAACCGAACCGAACCTAAATAAATGATATGGTTTAGTTATAGTTTATCCTAAAAACTCATTTGGCTGTTATTTTTATTAAATATTTGGTTTAGGTTTGGTTTGATTAAAACAGTAAAACCGAATGTTTTTTTTTTTGGTTTTTGATGAAAATTTGAGATAATTATATATAATTATATTTGTTCAGTTTTTAATATATTTAATAATGAATTATTTGAGTTTATATTATTTGGGTTTATTTTATTTGGGTTTATATTATTTGGGTTTAGGAAACTAGATTTGGACTATATTATTTGAATTATGTAAAACTTATTGATTGATATATTATTCTTATTCTACATATACTTTTATTCATGCATCAATTTTATTTTTTTAATCATGGAATAGTCTAAAAAATACGAAACCAAACCGAAACCAAAACCAAAACCGAGCCGAGATATTCATTTTTTATAAGTTCAATAATTTGTAAAAACCGAACCGTGACCAAACCGAATTACATATGGTTTCTTTTTGGTTTCAGTATTTAGACCTAAAAAACCGTAAAACGAAAAAATAAACCGGAATATGACCAAAAAACTGTACGCCTATTATAACCGAATTTCCTATGGAAAACGTATCATCGGAAGAAAAAAAATCATTATGATAAAAATTGATAGAGAATTGGTGAAAATGTGATGTTATGTGGTAGACATATAACAAAAACCAAATATAAAAAATGGAATAAATGAAAAAATGAAAATAGGCTGATATTTTTTTTTGACAGCAAAAGAAATTCATCCATTTAAGCTAGAAATTGCTGATTTTTTAAATTAAATAACAAGACTTTTTTCTTAGGTTTTAAAGTAATGATTTAGTTTAAGATTATGACTAATGACTAGATTTTAACCCGCGGTACACCGCGGGATGATTTATTTTTAAAGTTAGCATAAAAATATTTTGTAAATTGTATCTCCTTATAAAGTATTTATTTATATTATAGTTTACAATTGTTATTAAGTAACAGTATACCACGAGTCCACGAGACAATTGTTAATAAACTGAGGATTTAACCCGTATTAAAACGGCATGTTAATGATATTTATAAATATTAATTCAAATTCGTCCGCCATATAAACCCATTCTGAAATATAACCCGTTCTGTAATTTCTTAACCCGTCCCGTGATTTGTTTTTATTTTAAAATTTAATGATTATTTATTATATATAAAAGTTTACAAATCATATCATTCTCTAAGACATTTATATTTTAATAACTGCAGATTTAATCTGTATTAAAGCGGCATGTTTATGATATTTTAAAATTTTATAAATATTGATTCAAACTCGTCCACCATATAACTTCGTTCCGAAATATAACATGTCCTGTAACTTCTTAATCCGTCCAGTAATTTGTTTTCTAAAAGTAGTAATTTTTAAAATTTAACGATTATTTATTATATATAAAAGTTTGCAAATTTTATAATTTTTAAGATATTTATATTTTATAGTTTACAATTGTTATTAAGTAACATTATACCACGGGACAATTTTTGGTTTTATACAATATTTTCTAAATGAGACTGATTTAATATGTCTAATATTGGTGGTATTAAAAAAATTAAGGATTTAATCCGTATTGAAGCTGCGGATTAATGATATTTTAATCTTTTTTTTATTATTTTTGATTCAAAAACCCGTTCCGCCAAACCCGTCTCGCCAAAAAACTCATTTATTTTATTAATGTTGATCTTATTTATGATATGATTCTGAATCATTGTCTAAATATTTTAATCGGTGTAGAACGTTGAACACATATTTTCGTCTATTGGATAATATATGTCCGTTTTTAAAATTTCGAATCACAGTATATGCAGAAAAAAAATTGATTTTTTTTTTACTTTATGTATTATATGATGATTCAAAACAGTTAAAAAACAAATCAAACAAAGATGATAGGAGAATCATAATTCTAAATCTTAATCAAATATTCTAAATATCTAAATTATTAAATACAGAATATCCGGTGTATGAGTTGGGTTAAATATAACCCGACTCAAACAAACTTTTTATGACTAAAATTTGTAAATGGATCGGGTATCCAAATAAACCGGAAGCATTTTTATCCACCTGTCATCAAAATGACTGCAAAAATAATAGTATAGATTTAAGAATTAAGATGTTTTGAACAAGATTAAAATTTGAGTTAACAATCTAGAGTTTAAATTTAGATATTAGATAAACTTCATTTATTATAAAAGTTGAAAAATTCTGATATAAACTTTTTATTTATTTTCATAAGTGTTCCATCAAAAATAATACTTGATAAAAAAAAAAAAAAACAACTCTCCCATCAAAAATCTATTAAATAAAAATAACAAGAGTAACAAATAATTCTTCATGAAGGGTAAAATAGTCTTTGCGCATTCTAGGATTACAATAACCCTACGAATGTGTAATATATATAAATCATTGAAAAACCCTAGCAGACCTCCTTTTTGTTCTTCACTCTCCAGAGATCGTTTATTGCTTGAAGACGGCTTCTTCTTCTTCTCACAAACCTCATCTCTGCAAATCAAAATGGTAATTAGGGTTTTCGAATTTCTCCTTTCCCTCTTTTAAAATGTTCTTCAACAACCACAATCTCGATTCCATCGATCTGCAAGAAAAAAAACCTCCTTTTAGATTCACTCTCTGACAAATGAATCTAGAGCAAAGTCAATTTTAGGTTTTGCTAGTTTCTGGAATCTGGAGTTCTTATGATTTATAAAGTTCGTGTTTTTATATGATTTACAGTGAGCTTAGTCAATCTTAGGTTGTGTTAATTTCTGGAAAGTTTGAGTTTTTATGTTCTGATTTACGATGTAATCGAGAGGAGGTTGAGAAACTTTGCGTTTTTTTGTTTAGTTTATGTGAAATTGGTGATGGGTCAATTGAATTTTGTGTTATTTGTTGTGTAGTCTCTGGTTGCAAATGAGGAGTTTCAGCACATTCTTCGCGTGTTGAACACGAATGTTGATGGTAAGCAGAAGATTATGTTTGCCCTTACCTCTATCAAAGGTATTGGGAGGCGATTGGCTAACATTGTCTGCAAGAAGGCTGATGTCGACATGAACAAAAGGTTTGTTTGAGCTTTTGTTTACTCTTCTACGTTTGCCTTTCGTTAGCGTGTGGAACTGATAATCGATAGGCAAATATAGAGGAGTTATGGTTTGTTATAGATTCTTGAGTGTTGATCAGCTTGCTCAAGCTTCCTTACTCTTGTTCCATGTATTGTCTATATCATAGATTTGAGATTTTTGTTTATTCGTATTGATATGAATGCGGTTTGAGTTCCCTTATATCCCGCTGTATATGTTTATTCAAAGTAGGAGTTTGGCTTATTTTTGTAACTTGCCACACATGTGTGCTAGTGTGAGCAGCTATGATGTGTATAAACCTTGTTGGAGGTTCAATCTAGTTCTCTTAGTCCGTTTCAGTTTTGCTGTGTTACTTTGTTGGGGATGGGTTGTCTTACGTGATGTTCTTGTTTTACAGGGCTGGTGAGTTATCTGCTGCTGAGATTGACAACCTCATGACAATTGTTGCAAACCCACGTCAGTTCAAGATCCCAGACTGGTTCTTGAACAGGCAGAAGGATTACAAAGATGGCAAGTATTCTCAAGTTGTCTCCAATGCACTGGACATGAAGCTGAGAGATGATCTTGAACGTCTCAAGAAGATCAGGTAAATACAAAACCAACAGATGATTCTGTTCCCTATACAATTTGCATAAAACATGATGATAATGTGTTTAACAAATGGGCAGAAACCATCGTGGTCTGAGGCATTACTGGGGTCTCCGTGTCAGAGGACAACACACCAAGACCACTGGTCGCAGAGGAAAGACTGTTGGTGTGTCAAAGAAGCGTTAATCAAGAGCCAATGTTGCTACTTACTGCTGTATTGGATACTTCCTAAGGACCTATTTTTATTTCGTACTAGGACCTTTTTCTGTGACGCTTTTCGGGCTTTTTGTGATCGCATTCCTCTGTTTTTCATCTTGATCCCTCCGGCTCCAGTGCCATGATTAGTCGTATTTATTTAAATTTCCAGCTGACTCTGCGGATTGTCTATTTGTTTTACTATCGAAAAAACCAATGCTAATAAATTGATATACACAAATATCAAAACACTGGCAGAAAAGAGTAAATTAAAGCTGTTGTATATAACTTAATTTCCTCTAGACAGTGTAAATTTCATATCAAGGCAAAAAATTTGAAGCACTATCTGATTACAAAATTCAGCTACAAAAGAATAACTTCAACTGAGAGATGTAAAATTAAAGCTATGTGTGAAACTGATCATTTACTATTAGCTAAGCTTTACCTTGGTATTCATCAGAGTCCGAAGCAGCTCCCTGTTTCTGTTGTCGGGTCGTTGGAAGAGAATAGTTCTTCTTCTCCTTGCCACCTTGCTTGGACGAGGCATTACCGTACCAAATCATCCCGAGTACAGCAATAATCATGCCAAGAACCACATGCAGGTTTAGACCATCTCTGTCAAAGAAGAAAAAGCCCATTACCAGCACCAAGATCGTCTTCATATGGCCAAGGACTTGGAATGACACTGCTGTGAATCTCCCGATGCAGATGAACTGGCTTAGGTTTGTCCCGATTGCTATTGTGCACGAGAGGGCTATAAACATCTGCAGAATCATCACAACGTTATAGAATACAAAGACCAATTCGTTTAGACTCATTTGATAAAGGGTCATAACGGAAATAAGGCGATAGTTATCGTTCTAGGCTTAGTATGACGTCAAGTATTGGACATAATGGACAATTTTCTCTAAGACGTCACATGAGCAGCTGAGATATTGTGTAGTACAATCTGAGTGTTTCGAGCACTCCACACAGCAACAAAAGCAGCAACAAAACCTTTAGTGTTAACACTAACATCAGTAACAGTACAAACACCAACACCAACAAGAACAAGTCCTATACTAAGTTTTGTATCTCTCGAGTAACGAATCTTATCAAATATAACTTCCAACAAGCATGACACAGGAATCATACTAAGCTTCGCAATCTAAAAACCAAAAAGAGCAAAGAAGACACCATTAGAATCAACAAGAGAAGCATTTCTTTATCCAAAAACAAGTATAGTTACCTGATAAAACCCAACAGAGTTCCACATAAGACTAACATTCATTCCAACAATTGAAAAATTCGCAAACAAAATAAACTTTAAAAGCTCTGTAAATGGAAGATGAGAAGGCTGAATATATCCTAAACATCTTAAAACAAGTGTCATCAACGTCGTCGTAGCGAAATGTAAGCCGGTTAAAGTTGTTGCTGCATTGAAATCGAAATGTTAAATTTGAAGATATGAGTGAAATAGTAGTAGCAGTAATGAGATGATAAATGGTAGCAAAGCTAAAGCCATAAGTAGCCATTAAAGCTTTATTAACAATAATGATTCCAACAGAAGAAACAACATTGAAGATCCAAGCGGAAAGATCGGAGACATTGTTCATCGGAAAGATCGGAGAAGATAGCATCGGTGATTGATTTTTTTTTTTTTGAATAACCGCGGGTCTCCCAAAGGCTTCCTAGGCCCAATGACTAATCCCACGAGGCTGGCAATTCCCATATGTAAACCTGCCAGTGGCCGTGCCTCGAACCCTAGTGGCGGAAGTCACAGCTGTGACCCCTTTACCACTAGGCCACAAGGCCCGGTTCATCGGTGATTGATTGATCGGATAAAAAACCGGCGAGGGAGTACCTGGAGAAGAAGAAAACATGGCGGTGAAGAAGAGGAGATTCTGTTTCCGGCGAGATTGGTCGGTGGTAAAGTATTTGAATTGGATTGGTGAGTGATCTGAGAGAGTGAAGCCATGGTAGTATTCACCATTTTTATTTATTTTCTTTGTCTAATTATCTCTGTTTTTTTTATTCCAGTCATACAAAACTTAAAAAAAAAACAATAGCCATGGGTGTTCGGGTATTCAAATCGGTTTCAGTTCGGTTTTATTCGGTTTTAATTCTTTCGGTTTTAGAGTTTAGTATACATTCGGATATTTTAAATTTTTGATTCGGTGTCGGTTCGGTTTCAGTTCTTTCGGTTTTAAAATTTAATATCCACTCAGAAATTTTGTTTCGGATATTTTCTTATATTTTGGCTATTTTGAATACTAGATTATGTACCCGCGCGTTGCGCGGGATTTTAGTTTTAATTTTTTTTATCAATGCGAATCTTTGAATATAAATCTAATCAATTGAATTTTAATTTTTTTTTTTACTTTTTTTTTTTTCCAATTTTACTTTATTCATGTGCATTATCTTTCCAAAGTAGTAAAAACATTCTCTCACTTTCTACTACAATTTTTCATGTTATCCTCTGTGATATACTCATCGTCTCCCGACATCGACTCTTTTTCACTTTATATTGACTCACATATAATATACTCAATTGTGAATTAGTTCTCAAGATAGATTGTATATCTTTTCTCCTTCCTATCTTTGAATATTCAATTCTATTTTAAACTTTGCATGATCTTTTTATTAAAGTAACCATCAGAAAATCTGAGAAAATATTTTGTCATAAGGTTTTTTTAGCCATGTTTTGGTGCATGTAAAATTGTTTTATAAAAAACATATTACATATATAAACTCATTCTTATATATTCACAAACATCGGATTTTAATATCAAATTTTTTCACTTTATCTTGACTCTTTGAAAAATACAAAATTCTCTTTTCTAAAATATGTACATTAAGAATTATTTTTTATAACAAAATCATTGTTATTTCTAATTTCTAAATAGCATTCTCAAATATTATTATTAGAAAGTTTTCTTATTCGAGTAGATTATTTTATTTTATTTTGTGATGTTTAGGATAGTTTTTTGTTTTGTTTCAAATCAGCTTCATTTTTTTCAATCTATGTTAATTTTCTAAACACTGATTAATAATTAGTTTTTCTTTCTTAGGTATTCATTTTTTATATAAAAAATGTTCACTTTTTAATTGAGAAAACATTAATAATATAGACAAATTTATTAATTTAACTATTAATAGTATATTATAATTATAAATGATAATATGTATTCATTCCTTCTGTATCATGAATTAATACTTTAAACTTAACAAATTTATTCTCAAATTCTAAATGGGTATTTTTAAAAAATGAAGTACTTTTTTAGTTAGGACCTTTAAATTTGGTGTTTTTTTAACTCTTATTTTTTTAATTCAACTAAATAATTATAACTCTTAAAAGTGATTGTTTTATAGTCCTAGACGTTTGTTATCCAATCAGTTTCGGTTCGGTTCAATTCGGTTCTGGTTATTTTGGTTCTAGAGTTTAGTATCTATTCGGGTATTTTGAAATTTTGGTTCGGTTTCGGTTCGGTTTCGGTTCTTTCAGTTTTAAAATTTAGTATCCATTCGGGTATTTTGCTTCGGATATTTTTGAATATTTCAGTTATTTTTGAATATTTTGGATACTTTTCGGTTATTTTCTAGTATTTTTATATAAAAAACTAATATTTTTAGATATATAATTATATTTCGGGTACCCGAAATATTTCGGATCGGTACCGATTTGGTTCCGGTTCTTACGGTTATAAAATTTAGTATCCATTCGGAAAATTTCAAATTTTCTGTTCGGTTTGGTTCTTTTTGCTCCGTTTCCGGTTCGTTACGTTTGGTTCGGTTAATTTGCCCAGGCCTTGTTACATTAAAATAAATCATAAGTTTCTTTTTCCTAGCTCTAACCATTTAAAAATATTCACTCATTATATATTAAGACATGATTATCTAACTTTATATTTATCTATTCTCTATTCAAAAGTTTTATATTTTGTGTTGTATATCTATTTTTTTTTTTTTCATATTTAATTAATTTTTTGTAAGTTATTGATTTTTAATGAAAAGTAATAATTTAAAATGTATGAGTTAATTTAGTTTTAGTTTTAGTTTTAATAAATAACATATGTGGAGCCCACAAAAATAATAAAATGTGATGACATGGATGCTGATGTGGACACCTTAGATGGAGAGACAACTCTCCCATTATATATATAGATTTTCGGATATTTTTTATACTTTTATATATTTATTCAGGTATTTTTGATTATTCGGTTTAAAAAGAACTAACATTTTAGATATATAATTGTATTTTCAAATTTCTGTTCAATTTTGGTTCGGTTCTTTTTAGTTCGATACTTTCGGTTCGGTTTATTTGCTTAAGCCTAGAAATCATCATAATACAGATAGTTGTTTTAAGTAAAAACAAAGATATATATATATATATATATATTGATAAAATTCATTGTGAAATGTTGGCAAAGAATTCGCAAAGTTGGTGAATGTTGCAGCCTTCTTGTAGAACAAAAAAATAAAATTGGAGAATGTTTTCAAGAATCAAGATTGGTGGCTTTTACAAAATTTGAACAACTCATAACTTATTGCATTCTAGCTAGAATGATTCAAGGGTTTACGACATATTTAGAGCCAGACGTCCCAAACCAGTCAGGGATTAGACTCTTATTGTTCCATGATTAATACTACTACATTTGTTTCCTACATCATTTTTCTATTGTCTCTACATTGTTCTATTCACAAAGTACATTTGAAGCATTGGGTTGGTTATCCGTAGATGATTAGATCTTTTGAGAATATACCACATATTTTTTCGCGTATATCCAACCCGAGCCTTATCTCTATTGCGTCATAGTTCAACAGTCTAGAAGATTGTTGAAGCAACATATGAATATAATTAGATGACCGTCCATAAGACTTCCATTTCACAAATGACAAATCAAACCAATATATCCACGTGAGGATCATGGTGCCAGATATTTTTTGCATCAATGCCAAGCAGAATGAAAGATATACCTCCTCAAGAAGTTTGAGTTTAGAAATATTTGGTGAAACCTTATAAAAAACTTGTAAAACCTTTTAAGATCACTCGAGGGTATTATTTTATACACTAGATGAATATAGCCACGCTACGCGTGACTTGTTACAATTTTATTGTAAACATGAATTTAAAATTTGAAATGAAAACTAAAAGAAAATTATGCTTTTAATATTAATACACATATTCATCTATTTTTATAATGCATAATTTTTTAACATCACTTATTTTTTAGTATTGTAATAATTAATCAATTAAGTGGTACGACTCAAAATATTTTATAAATTATTTGTATATTGTAATTAAAAAACCATATATCAAGAATAATGTAGTTTCTAGATAGATCTAACACCTACTTACATTTTTTTTATTAAGTCTAAGTTCTAATATCTTCAATTTTAAGAAAATTCAACTTATTTATATACAATCATAATTTTTGTGTACTTGATGCAAAGGAAAAACAGTATTTCTTCTAACATGAATAGCATACATTTTTCATTAAATATATTTTTTCTCACATCTTTTTACCAACATGATATTTAAACATTTGCTATTGATTATCTACATGATGATTATCTAAAAAGTAATTTTGACCACAAACCTTGGAAAAATACTACAATGATATTCATATCACTACATGTTGGAATAATGTTTTTTGTTTGAATAAATAGATAAAGAGAATAATCATACATCAATAGTAAAAAACGAAGATATATCATTTCAATTTGATTGACTTGTGTGAATATTAGAATAGTTAGCTTTTGAACTTCCATAGATAAATCGGGAAACAGATAAATATTATAGTAAGAATTTTGAAAACTAAAAATGAAAGAAATATATTCTTGTAATGCGGTAGAAACAAAATAAAATGGAATACAATATAAACTACATATATACCATATAATCTCTAAAAATAAAATAAACGAAATACAAATTGAATACAATGTAAACTACATATCATATAATCTTTAAAAATAAATATTACAATCAAACCTTCACTATCACCATGACACAATTGTTTTTAACTCATGCAAGAACATAAAATAAATTAAATTTACAGATTTGAAAATATGGTGGAGAATGATAAGAGAATTGATATTTATAGATGAGAAGTGGTGAAACTCTTATAATTATTGAGTATGAGTTACAAATTATTATTTATTGGTAGAAGTTACTATTGAGTTTAAATGTAGAGTTTAAATTATAGTCAATATCATTTTCAAATAGTTAATGCATTTTAGTGGAGGAGTTACAATGTGGAGTTACACATGAGTTTTAAAGGGAGTTAATTAGAGATTAATATATTAAAGGTAAATTTAAGAAAATATGAAAAAGAAATGCCAAGTGGACCAATCATGGGAGAGTGAAACCCTACTTTTATATGTATGATTTGAAGTCTCAACATCTTCTATGTTTCTTGGGTTTGGCTTAAAGTTTTCTTTTGCTATGCTTGCAGAATCACTTGGCTGACATCTTGTCTGTCTTAAACCTTGGTGAGTGTGACAAGGCTTCATATCTTGACATAGTAGATTGGCCAGAGTCAGGAGGAAAATCAGTTAATAAGTTGAGCATGAACGAATTGGAGGCGGAGCTTAGGAAACATAAGTTGGAAGAGAAAGGAAATCGATCAGATATGGCATTGCATTTAGCTTTATACATTCGGAAGACTGAAAATGGGTATTTTCGAAAGCTACGAGGTAAACCAATTCCTGAGTTGATGGATTTTCGTTTAAAAAGTGAGCTTAGGTTACGTTTGTTAAGTGTATCTGGAAGTAAGGATGAGTTAGTTCTGCGCTTAGCTAAAGTGGTAAATTACGGAGTTAAAATAACTGAGGATGAGAAATCACCAGCTCCCTCCACCTGTGTGGATAGAGAAGAAGAAGTGAAAGGTGTAGACTACCCAATAGCCTTCCTGGATTTGGAGTTTAAACATTATACGATTCTAGAGGTTGGGATTGTCCTTGTGGACCCCAAGACGTGGAATTATAAAGAGTTTAGTGTAATTATAAGGCAATCAAAGGAGTTTATGGAGTCCTATGTTGGCCGGTCCAGTCTCCCTAGAACAACTCTAGAGGACACGAGTTCACCTTGGTTCAGGGATGCATACGAGACAATTTTTTATTGTCTTAACGGCAGGACTGTCATAGGTCACAACATCGAACGCTGCGATATGGTGCTTATCAGAGACCGTTGCTTTGACTTAGGTTTAAGAGTGCCAGTACCTAAAGAAGTAATTGATACTTACAAGTGGATTAAGGATAAGACTAAGGATAAGACTATCAAAAACTTATATCCAAAGTTAAGACTAGCGGACCTTGCTCGCCAATTTGAGTTAGGTGAACAAACTCATAGAGCTATTGAGGACTGTTCCTCAATATTGAAGTTTTCAAGAGAGTATTAGCATCGAAAAACCTGGTAAGTTAATAAAAAACATTTCATTATTTTAAGTATCAATTAATTTTAAATATAAGTTAATGTGTTTTGTGGTTAATTGTTTGAAGCTTGAAATACTTGGAACTGAAAAGAGCGACAATACTGTAAAGAGAAAAAGAGGAGGTTAATTTTCTTCAAGAAGCATTACAAATTGATGAGGCTGATGAAACTGTATGGGCTGTGAAGTTGAAGATCCTAAAGTGCTTACATCATTGAACAGACTTCGAACAGCTTGTATTGAGCTTTTGTGCACAATAAATACACAACTTTTTGAATAACAAAAGATTTTAAATAGAATTACAAAATCCATACACCAATAACACCATATTCTAATTGAATTGCAAAATCACAACACCAATAACATGAGAGTTTACTAAGAATATAAGAATCTACAAACCAATAACAATAGAATCTTAAAATTTTAAAAGTCTTTAGAAATCAACATCCCAATAAACCCCCCTAAAAGAATAGTAAATCGTCAATTTCTTAGATAAGCTAATAAAGCATTACAACAATAAATTTTGGCTACTACCTCCATTACTATTCCCCTTACTTTTGTAGATGATGCAAATTCTTCCCTCAAGATCTAAAGAATCATAAATCACATTGTTTTTAGCCAATGTTACACACTACTAAAAGAAAATTTTCAAAATTTTATTGATAGAAACACTTTAGATGTACTACTACTAGGGTATGCTTTTTCATTACCGCTTGATATTTTTTTCTATTTCAAGATCATAAAACGTTGACGCATATATGAAAGATTAGAAAGGGTTAAGAAAAGCCATACTTTAATTTTTAGAATCTCAAAATATCAAACCAATCCCCCTAACCGTTGTAAAGAGTTTCAAAATCAAACCCTCTAGATTAATTTAAGTGTTTTTTTAATCCCTATTCGTTCAGATCACGAGTTAACGATGAACTTTTCAGAATTTAATCGGTTCAATACGTGGCGATTTTAGTAATGGATCCCCAACCGCAATAATGACCAAATCATAGGTTTACCGGTCCAACCAACCGCTTTGGACCGGGTTATAATATATTGAGCAAAACACAATAAATCTCGTTCACACGAATTATTAAATTTACCACACACACAACAAATTTCAAACCATTTTGCATCACACTATATTATCCCTTATGATCTTCTACAATTATGTTATCCACTTTTAAAATAGTTCACTCTCATCATAAAAACCGAGGTCCTCTTCCAAAGCTAATGTGGTTGTTACTTGTATTCCAACAAATAATTCTTGCCAAAACACTTCCGGCTAATGTCATTTTCAAAGAAAACAAAGATCAGACTGTTATAAATTGGTATGATTTGTCATTTATGGAATGGAAGAACTTGGGTTTTAGTTAACATTTGTGACTAACCAGTCTCTCGGTTATGTACTAATGCATTGTCCTTGTGAATAACCAATCTCTCATTTCTTTTTTTTCTGCTATTTGAATCATTTTCAATAAGAGAAATAAGTTATAACACACGTTTTTGAAAACAAGAGTACGTAATGCAGAAGGAGAAGCAGAACCAACAAGAAGACACCATTCCACGTGCCCGTCAGAGTTACATAATTGGTGAAAGACTAAATTCAGAAGAAAAAAAACATAAGGAACACAGAAGCAGAAGCAAAAGCCAAGCAACATTTATTTTGTCGACAAAAAAGCCAAGAAACATTCAATGTTGATTTTGTCTAATTAACCAGGTGTACATTACCCTTAACCATACACCCAAAATCGTATGTACTATATTATATGTGTACGTAACAGTATCTATCTATATTATCTTATCTATATTTTATAAATACGATTTTATAAGATTTTATTAAATGGGAAACGATAGTGGCTACTTTGGCTAGCAATTAACATCAATAATTTAATAACTCAATTTGAAACATCTTATTCTTCTCCTTTATTACACCAAACCATTTTCTCATTCTTTACTTACCGGTCAGGTCAACAATTCTACCATTCCCCATCTTTTTGTTAAGTTAATCTTTTCATTGTAAAGAAAATCTATAAATGAAAGTTCGTCCAATAATTCCAACCTTTTTAAATTGTTGATGAACATTTTAATCCATACATATTTTTACTATAAATTTTATAAATAATATAAATATGAAAAACGCTATTTCTTTGCTCCTTGCAGCAGTAACACAAGTCAAAGCAACGTCTGTTTTCTCTTGTTTGTCAGTTAGCTATTTTATCTACTACAAAATGTTCTGCTTTCTAAACAAAAAAAATTATATAACATATTAAGAAATATCCATTCTACATTTTGATTTGTCCAATTAGTGTACGACACGTCAACAAGATACATAGATCTTTTCATTATTTCACTTTCTCATCCAACGTCTGGTGAACCAACCATTCAAAAATCAAAAGTCAACTTTTAATGCATCTTAAGTTTTGGTCATGCATTCATATATATACATGGAAGTTATTATATTACTTAACTTATGTCAACATGTTGATGATAACTTCCATGTATATTGCAAAATCCGTGGTCCCATACCATTTTAACTCACCATAAACCAAAATAGCGTATGAGAGTAAATTCTTCTTATATACATAACAACCCTTCAAAGTTATAAGATTTTTAGAGAGAGAGGGCTACCAAGTTTTGTATCTCCGGGAAAGATGGATGAATCAAGTATTATTCCGGCAGAGAAAGTGGCCGGAGCTGAGAAAAGGGAGCTGCAAGGGCTGCTTAAGACCGCGGTTCAATCTGTGGAGTGGACTTATAGTGTCTTCTGGCAATTTTGTCCTCAACAACGGTTCGTTTTTTTTTTTTATCTATTTTATCCATCTCTCATAATACAAGTTACAACCATAGTATCTCTATCCTCATATATTATATATGTAACTAAAAAAAGTACTTAAAATATTTAAATTGATTAGGCTAATTGTTTGGTTCCTAGTGTTAGAATTCGATCTTGGAATTTTCTTTTTTTTTGAATGTTTTATAACTTTGGTTAAGATTGTTGATCCATTTATATGAATTAGGGTATTGGTGTGGGCGAGTGGATACTACAACGGTGCAATAAAGACGAGGAAGACAACTCAGCCGGCGGAGGTGACGGCGGAAGAAGCTGCCTTAGAGAGGAGCCAACAGCTGAGGGAGCTTTATGAGACACTTTTAGCCGGAGAGTCAACGTCGGAAGCAAGGGCATGCACCGCTTTATCGCCGGAGGATTTAACGGAGACGGAATGGTTTTATCTAATGTGTGTCTCTTTCTCTTTCCCTCCTCCTTCTGGGTAAACCACTCTCTCTTTCTATACTCAAGTTTCCAAATTTGTTCTTTCCTTTTTTGTTCTCTAAGTGAAGACAAAAATAGTATTGTGTGTTAAATGCGAATATCTAAAATATTGTGTTGACATTAAAGAGAAACTGAGGAAGTTGAGTTACTAGAATAAGAAAGAAATGAGAGTTAATGAAACGTACACACACTACAATTTGATGAACATTATTGGGACCGTTGAGATTCTCATTGTTTGGTGATTGATTATCTAAAGTAGAAGCATGAATAGATATTACATAAATGCATAACAAAATGGGTTAGTTATGGCTATACTTAATGCTTTCCTCTATGTGGTAAAAAAAAAAAAAAATTATATATAAATATGGGAAGTAGTAATTTGTAGGATGCCAGGAAAAGCGTATGCGAGGAGGAAGCACGTATGGCTAAGTAGTGCAAATGAAGTTGACAGTAAAACTTTTTCTAGGGCTATTCTTGCTAAGGTAAATAATTTTATTCGTTCACCAACTATTCTATGCATCTATTTATTTTACCTATTTATGTATACACTATATATACTATGCATCTATATATTTACCTATTTATGTATACTAAGTTATTTCTTTTTTGTTATTTTTTTTTGGGATGCTCCTTTTACGTTGGTTCTTCTATGCTTAGAGTGCTAAAATACAGGTAAATGTTGTCTTTATTTGTTAGCTGCTTTAATTTTAAGTAGATATGTATAGTATTATTACAGTTTTTAAACATGTTTGAGGATTGTATATGATAAATAAAAACAGACTGTGGTTTGCATTCCCATGCTTGATGGTGTTGTGGAACTAGGAACAACGAAAAAGGTAACGTTGTATATCTCTCTCTTTTATTAACTTGTTCATGAAATATAAACAAAATAAAAAGTGAATATATCCTATCTTTCTTTAGATATTAATTAAGGTGGAGATATATGGATCATGTATGCATGAGTTTATATTTGTGTGTGTAGGTAAGAGAAGATGTAGAATTTGTTGAGCTCATAAAGAGTTTCTTCCATGAACATTGCAAGTCAAATCCAAAGCCGGCTCTTTCTGAACACTCCACCTACCAAGTGCATGAAGAAGCCGAAGAAGAAGAAGAAGTAGAAGAAGAAATGACAATGTCAGAGGAGATGAGGCTTGGCTCTCCTGATGATGACGACGTTTCCAATCAAAATCTACACTCTGATCATCATATAGAATCAACCCACACGTTAGGTATATATATACCATAAGTTACTTTTATTATGCGCATTTTTTCGCTATATCTAAAAAACTATCATTTGTATATATATAGACACACACATGGACATGATGAATCTAATGGAGGAAGGTGGAAACTATTCTCAGACAGTAACAACACTTCTTATGTCACATCCCACGAGTCTTCTTTCAGATTCAGTTTCCACATCTTCTTATATCCAATCATCGTTTGCCACGTGGAGAGTTGAGAATGTCAAAGACCATCAGCGAGTGGAGAAAGCGGCTTCGTCTTCGCAATGGATGCTCAAACACATGATCTTGAGAGTTCCTTTCCTCCATGACAACACTAAAGATAAGAGACTACCGCGGGAAGAGCTGAACCACGTAGTGGCAGAGCGACGCAGGAGGGAGAAGCTTAACGAGAAATTCATAACGTTGAGATCAATGGTTCCATTTGTGACAAAGATGGATAAAGTATCAATCCTTGGAGACACTATTGCGTACGTAAATCATCTTCGAAAGAGGGTCCATGAGCTTGAGAGTACTCATCATGATCAACAACATAAGCGGACACGTACTTGTAAGAGAAAAACATCGGAGGAGGTGGAGGTTTCTATCATAGAGAGTGATGTTTTGTTAGAGATGAGATGCGAGTACCGAGATGGTTTGTTGCTTGATATTCTTCAGATTCTTCATGACCTTGGTATAGAAACTACCGCGGTTCATACCGCGGTAAACGACCTTGATTTCGACGCGGAGATAAGGGCGAAAGTGAGAGGGAAGAAAGCAAGCATCGCTGAGGTCAAAAGAGCCATCCACCAAGTCATAATACATGATACTAATCTATAGATTCTAACTTTATTGATGCCAACTCTAGAGAAGAGTAATTAAACGTATTTTTGTTTTAGCCTCACATGTATTAGGACATCAGTTACATATATAGGCCCCGGATGCAACATATAAATGCAAATGTACTAGATACATGATGTTGTTCGTTTGTCCAATTTTGTACTTGTGTATGAATGCAGATTCAGTTGCACCTAAAACATCAAATTTTGGATGCATAAAGTTGTAAAATTTGTATGCAGATTTTTCATTCAAATTTGACAAAATATTAAAAAAAACAACATTTACAAAATTCATTAAATGTTCATAGTTGCAGCGTGATCTACATTTTCTCTTAAGAGATCATCATTGATTATCAAAGAATCCACAATTAGATGTGTAACTGCATTGGCTCCAATTCCTTTGTTGTCTTCTTTCTTGAACAGTGTTCTCTAGTTTTTTTCTATTGTGGCATATCTTTCTATAGTTTCAGCACTTAGCAGGCTGCTTAAAAATGGCCTGGCCCATTTGATTCTTTGATTTCGGTATGAACGGTTAGAATTCAGATACTAAACCGGGTTAAAACAACATTAACTTCTTTGACTAAAATTGATGGTCACGGTCAAGATAATCCAAGTTCAAACCAGTTTTAATTTCAAAATTTAATAATACCCGTTTTGAAATTGGTTTAATGTAAAATTTAACCAATCTGAACCAAAAACTAAAATCAAAGTAAACAGAAGATTATATAAAATCGAACCACTCTTACAAGTCAAATGATGTCTTTTTTCACCGGCTAACATTAAAAAAAAAAACACACAGACACAAGTTATAGATATTTAGTTATTTACTCTCATTGTGAAACTGAAAATAGGCCCATTTACTGCTGCTCCTAATTCTACTAAGGTAAAAAATTTAGGGATTACAAATTTCTCTTTTTTTTTGGTGTGGACAATTTTTTATTTTCTCTTTAGCTGGACTCTCTTGCTCTCAATCTCTCTTTATTTCTACCTTTAAGAGAGAAAACTATAAAAATGAATAAGAATCTCTGTGCAATAAAATAAATTAGGAAAACAATCTAAAACCTTAAAGAAACCCCTAAATAAATTCATAGAGATATGTATAACATTATTTCAGAAAGTATATTTAACCATTTACATATTATATTTTACCCTTTTGCATGTTTGTAAATTCTCCTCTACCCTTTTTAATGGGGTTTTGTGCAAAAAAAATCTTCAAACAAACTTATTTTTGCAACTTTATCCTCTACATCCAAAAAATGCAAATCAAACATACTAAATCAAAAATAATACGCAATATTACTTTTCTTCACTACCGTCAAGTTTGTAAATTTTTTTATTAATAATATGTTAAATCGAAGTCCTCACCACGAAAAGTTCAACTCTACCTTTAGAATTTTAAAAATCTTATGTATATGACTATAAAAACGTTTACAATATACATATAAAAATAATAGTTAGATTGCGTATTATTTATGATTTCGTAAGAATAATCTATATGTTTAGAAATAAAATATAAAATTAGCGAATTAATTTTTGAGAAATGGTCTCATATAGCCCTAAATGAAGTTTTTGTGACAAAAATAGCATCCCCAAGTTTATTTGACAAAAATAGCACTCATTTACCTTATTTTTGATTTTTAAGAATTAATTAAGATAAGAAACAAAAAATAGCACTAAAATTAAACACACCAACGGAGAGTTTACGATTGTGCTTTCCGGTGAAGCTTCCGATCTCAGATCTTCAATTCCGGTGAAGATTATGATCTCCGATATTCAATCCCGATGAAGCTTCCGATCTCATAGCTTCAATCAGGTCCTCAATCGATTGTCATTTCTCTAATTTCTTCCTATTCTTCATAAATCGTGTTGAATGTGAAATCTGAGTGTAGCTTTAGGAATCGTGATGGTCTATGTGGTTTGTGAGTGTAGCTCAAGATTCATGAGTGTAGCTCTTGATTTTGTTGGTGTGGATATAGTTTGGGCCTCGATTTGATTAGCTTCTCTAAGATTTCAATTAGAGAAGAAGAAATTAAGCTTTCAGGAGATGAAGCCGGCAAGAATATTGGAGTTTGAGATCCGGTGAAGAGACGGAGACCTAGAGAACGAATGGTTCCATCAACACCTATGGCAAGAGCTTATGGGTAAAACAATCACTCGTTGCTTAATTAGGTTAGATAGAATCTATAAAGCAATGATATGTTGCTTAGTTGGGTTAGATAGATTATTATGTTGAAGCAATTTTAACAAGTTGAATTTTATGAAATGTGAAGGTTTTTCAATTTTAGGAGTTGCACTTGCTTAGAGAGCAGTTAAAGAATCTACCTATAGGATGGTAAATGGGACACCAATGACACAAGACAATCAACCTGCACTATCTTCTTTCATGTCTAAAGAAAGTGCAGAAAGATTAGCTCTTGGATTGTGTGAAATGCGTGGAGCTGCTCTTAAATTTGGGAAAATATTGAGTATACATGATGAGAGTCTTGTTCCTGCTCTGGTAAATAGCAAATCCGAACCATTGTCGTTTTATGGAAGCTGAAGCTGTGTGGAAATAGTTTTGGGATTAAAGAGATTGTTGAGTAGAGGAAGATGAGAAAAATATTTGTTAAGAGTAAGATAAGTTCGTCGTCGTCATAGATTTCGATCGTCGGCTCCTTCGGGTTGTAGTTTGTAGGTTTTCCACAGGTAGAGTCTGCAGCTAATGCTTCGTCAAGAGTTTGCTACAATTTTCCATCGACACGCAAATTACAAATCCAAAGTTGGCTACTTAGATGCTAGTTTCAGAAATTTAGGTAGACCTTCCTAAACTTCAGGGACGTCTTCCTAAACATTATGAAATCCTTCCTAAATTTTAAAAATGTGTTTTTGAATCTCTTTATTTATGTTTTGTAATGTATCAAAGATTACTCCATCAGTGAAGCGTAATATACATACAAATTACAAATCCAAAGTTGGCCACATAGAGGTTGTTTTCAGAAATTTAGGTAGACCTTCATAAACTTCAATGACGGCTTCCTAAACATTATGAAATCCTTCCTAAATTTTTAAAAATGCTTTTTTGAATCTCTTTGTTTATATTTTGTCAAATGTATCACATATTACTCCATTAGTGAGGGGTAATATATCACAAACTCATCTATGTCCCAACTTTAGGAAGGCAGGCTACTACGAAGTTATAAAATCTCTTTTTATATCATGATGTGTTTCATGTTTCATAGAAATATATACGTTCGTTTGTACAAGATCTTAATTAGAAGTTTGGCTCACTGGTTACATGTTCTATTACAAAAACAATAGGTCTCGGTTTCGAATCATGGTGGAAGTAACTATTACAGTTTTTTTTTTAGGGAAGACCTTCCTGAATATGTATATATCCTTCCTGAATTTTTAGGAATCTTTCCTGAATTTTTAGGAATCTTTCCTGAATTTCAAAAATTGTTTAGTTTTGCATAGTTTACCTCATATTAATCACAAATTACACATTTTTTGAGGGTCAATGATCTATAAAATCTCTTTTTATGTCATGATGTGTTTCGTGTTTCATAGAAATATATACGTTCGTTTGTACAAAATCTTACAATTATACGCTTGCCTCACTGGTACATGTTCAATTACAAAAACAATAGGTCCCGGTTTTGAATCCTGGTGGAAGTAACTATTACAGTTTTTTTTTTTAGGGAAAGCCTTCCTGAATTTGTATATATCCTTCCTGAATATTTGGAAACCCTTCCTAAATTTCAAAAATTATTTACTTTTGCATAGTTTGCCTCAAATCTTTCAAAAATTACACAGTTAAGATGCAAAGGATATGCTGAGAGCATATAACTGAGTGGATAACCTGTATGAAACATATGGTATCTAACAAAATACCATACATTGAATATCTCAAAAAAACATTAATAGAAACAGATGATACTTTTCTAGTTCAGAACCATCATAGAAGTACCAAAACAGTCTAAAACGGTTTCACAAGCATCATACATCCAATAAAGAAACATAGTCCTAAGAAATCTTAACACACTCATTGAAGATATCCACAGCCAACTTGTTTATGATGTCTTCTGAATCTATATCACGCAGCTTGGAGAAATCTTCAATTCTCTGATTTTCTGAAACTCTGTAGCAGAGAGGATGCGTTGTACTTTATCGATATACTTATATCTTGCACATTGATTTATCCTAACATCTGAATTTGGCTCATGTCCTATACTGTACAGAAGCTTTGGCAGTGTGAAAGATATAATTAAAGGAAATCAGTTAACAAATATATTCAGGGAAGACCTTCCCGAATTACTATAAGTCTTTCCCGAATCAGGAAGACCTTCCCGAATTACTATAAGTCCTTCCCGAATCAGGAAGACCATTCTAGAACGCAAACTAAAACAACTCTATCAAGTAAAGAGAACATACAATGACAACACAGAAACAAGTAAAAAATGTTTATTCATATTTTCAAATCACAAAATTGAATCTATAACTATGTGACGATATATCTCTCAAATTGTGACAAAAACTAAACTCATCTAAAGTGATAAACTAATATGATGCAAACTACGATTCACAAGCTATCTAAGAGAAGGTAAGATTAACAAAAGAGAGCCTTAAATAGATGAATCTCTAATCAATTTGTGTTGCAGACTCATACAAGAAACACAACCATATACACAAACCATTTGTACCATTCTAGATAACATCTTATCATTCACCAACAAACAAAAATTGAAGAAACTGGTTCCGAATGAGAATGAGAACGTAGATAGAGCCTCTAACCGCAAACAAAGGCACAAGACAAGACCAACACAAAGCATGCCTCAACTACTTTGTTAAGTGAACCACATGATATACAAAACAAGGGACTTGGAGAACATAAAAGGGTTCAATCATAAGAAGCTAATGGCTTTCAAAGACCTGACTCCTCTTGAACAGATCAATCAAACATATGACCACTCTATAGCAAACACAAATCCAACAAAAGCATGCCTAAACAACTTTGTTAAGCAAATCAAATGATATACAAAGCCATCCACTTTAAGAACATGAAAGGGATTCATCATTAAAAGCTAATTAACTTTCAAAAACCCAGCCCCTTTTGAACAAATCAATCAAACAATTATCCTAAACCAATAAACAATTGTTCACTTAACGAGCACACATGAGATACTCTATGGTAGATTCCAATCATGATGGTAGATTCCAATCATGATTTCACAGAGCTAACTCATTTTGCAGAAATATAAAAAGACAAGTTAGAGAACAAACCAGTTCGTGCAGCAGTGATGGCCCAGAGATCGGGAAGGCTACAGATCGTTGGGTGCGACGGAGAGAGGTCTCTTTCTCAAATTGGGTGCGACGGAGAGAGGTCTCTTTCTCAAATTGGGTCGACTGGGTTGAGTCGAGGAATCGTGGAGGCAGTGGTTCGAGATACCGGAGGAGATCGAATTTTCCGACGATCGGAGGCAACTATGGAGAATTAGGTTTAGATCGGAGGAAAACGAGAATCGTCGGGTGAAGAAGATGAATATTAGATTTTCTCTATTTTCTATTTTTCAATTAATGGTTAATTAAAAAGTATTGGGTGCTATTTCTGGAAATTATGAAATATGGTGCTATTTTTGGAAAAAATAGTTTATTTGGGGCCATTTGTGTCAATTGCCCTTAATTTTTTTTCTTTCACAAAACCCTATTTAATTACCTTTCTTAAATCTCTACTTAGTAGTCAACTCAAAAATTGGTAAAAATTTGCTAAAAACTCTCTTAAAAGATATTTATACAATTAAGAAAAAAATTCCAAAACTTAAGAAAAAGTAATCTTCAAAAAAAAAAAACAGACAAAAAAAAAACAAAACCTTGTTGGGTCTTGCTGCCGTTTCGTATAAAGTGAGAAGTACCCTCTACCCAATTCCTTTCTCTTTCATAATCTCTCTATCAATCTCCGATCTTCGGATTAAACGAATCCGTCATCGCCGACGGAATCGTGGCTGTGTAATATTAAATAGGCGACATCGGAGGGATGGGTAAGAAGAGAAAATCTACAGCGACGAGTCTCGATGAGGTAGATCGGACTGTTTACGCTTCTTTTCGCACCGCCGCTAACTCTTTATCTCAGCTTTATACTCAGTCTATGAATCATCAGAAACTATCTTTTCAAGCCGGTGAACGCCATGGTTTGGTATGTTTAATAATTTACCCTTTTACCCTTTCTTGATTCTTTGTTTTTCTTCACCAAGACAATAAAGTTTTGATTTTGATTGTCTTCTTACACATGGCTTGAGACTTCTTGTTGGACTTGTGTTTGTAGATAAAGATGTTTTTTTTTCTTGTTTTTGTGAAGAGTATGTGTGTAATTGTATCTTCTATCAATGAAACCTATGGCAAAGATGTGAATGCATCTTTCTTTTTTGGCTTTTAGGGTTTTTGAATTGGTAGTAAATAACTTGTGAATCAAATTATAGTTAGTTCTTTAGCTATATGTTTGAAGCAGACTCTCTATTCACATTCAGTCTCTTTAGCTTCCCATCAGACTTAACACAGTTATTGAGTCTTCTTCCTATCTATCTTTCTTTTGTATAATGTGCTCTGTCTAAACATTTTAGAATTGTAGTTTAGAATATGAAAGCTAGTTGATGGCAAAGGAAATAAAGGCTATGAAGCTTGAAGATGGAAATGAAACAAGAAAAGTCTTTTTATAAAGAGAACGAATGTCGGAACATCCCATCGTTGTTTAGTCCTTCCATTTGTGTTAGCTCTAGTGCTAATATTTCCTGTATAGGTGCTTCTTAGCTACATGAATTGAACAGTAGTCTTAATATGATAGGGTTAGCGTTCTCTTGTATGCGGTCTTGTTCACTATATTGAGTGTGATTGTATTTGTTTGAATATAAGATGTTGACGAGTAGAGTAATATTGTGTTGTTTGTTCTTGTCTTTCTTTGGTGTACTGAAATTTTACTTAATATGGGGATACTTGTGTTGTGATGTGAAACCTGTACTTGGAAGATGACATGCTTAGCGAGATAAATATGTGATATAGGTTATGTGTCTTGGTTTATGCATCTCTTGCTTGTTTTATGCACCCTTAACCAAAGTTAAAGAAGCTCTGTGGCAGCTCCAAATTGGGAACAATAGATGCTCACGAGAATGTCCTGCTTTCTCTTCCTTATTTCAGGAAAAACTGTACCAATGGATATGGAGACAACAAGAAGGAGGGTCAAGAGTGACACCTATGGATATAGTCAATTATATTCAGGTTTATATGACTTCTATCTATCTAACCTAACATGTGGTCAGATTTGTTTACTGTTCTTGATTGAGTTTCTGGTTTCCCCAATGCAGAACGAGCTCGAATGCTGCATAGACGAGCCTCCAATATCTCCAAGAGCGCCACCACCGCAACCAACAATGCATGTCACAAATTCCGGGCTCATGGCCACTTCAGGTACTTCTTTCCCAACACCTGTTCCAGTGGTTCGGTCTGAGCAATGTGAGAACCAGGCCAAGAACTCGGTTTTCTCAAACGCCCTTTCAAGCCCAATACGGCGTAGTCTTCAGAACTACCAAATTCCGCAGGGAGGCTACACATCTGGCGGAACCAGAAGCAGTGAAGTGAACAGGGGATCTAACTCTCCACGTTCTATTGATTCTTCAATGGACATGCATGCAGAATAAGAACTGTGATCATAAATACACTCTTGTTTGATGATGTTTGATCTATATACAAAAACCGGTTTGATTCTTCATAATGTATCAATTGATTCGTATCTTGGAGGTGGTTTGCTGATAATTTGGTTAGAGTTTCTAAAAGGTCACATGTAAATCATCATTGTGTCTGATTCTTATCACTTGTTTAACTCTTTTCATTTTTCATGTTTTAAACTACTTGATGACCAAATGTTTTCTTGTGAGTAAAAAACCAAATTAGATGCCAAATCAAGGTTCTTATATTTCTTGAAATGTGAAACGTACAGAAGCAAGAATCAAGATCTAGTATATTTTCTTTACTCTGCGGTCGAATTTCGAGTCTGTGGATTCTTCTATACTCCAAGTAAAACACTACTACTTCTTATCATCATGTACTGACGAGTTATCAGAGTTTCTGAATTTTCTTCTCCTTCTCTTCCTCCTGACCCTCCTTCTGTTCTCTCTTTCGCTTTCTCTTGCTCTGTTGGTCATCTCCAGCTTCATGATCTTCATCTAAGGCGGCTTCATCTTCTTCCTTATCCGAAACTTCACCGACTGCAGCTGGGACGGCTTGCTGATCATTCCCACCAAGGCCTTGTAGATTATTTCCGCCAAAGCCGCCACCTTCACCTCCCTCCCCAACCAACTCAAGTCCAAGAGAACCCGGAACCCATTTGTATACAGCCTCCACAACCACACCATCATCGTAATGGATACTGTTCGTCGACCATGCATTGATGAGATCGATCAGATAGTTCAGTCGGGAAACCGATAGCCGACATGATACCCTCACAAACTGTTCAATTCCAGCGTCCATTTCTGCTATCTTCACTCTTCAAATGAACTACACAAATCAAAGACAATAGCTAAGTGCCAATAAGTTTTATAATCAGAAACCATCTAATACTATGAGTCAATGGATTCATCTAAAGAAAGAAACTTTCAACAACGAATAAACATACATTGAATCTTTAAAGTATCAAACCAATTTGCATTAAACCAAAGACTCAGCAAATCTCAAGTAAACTTGGCGCTAATCGACGAAAAATACCGTCTTATTAGAAGAAGATAGGCGAAGCAAGACTCGGGGTGAATCGGCGAAGCACCAGTGCACCACCGTCTTCGACGAAGCAAGACTCGGCGAAGCAGTCTTCGACGAAAACAGACTCGACGAAGCACCACGTCTCCGATTTGGATCGATCAGAATCTAGAAATCGGAGATCTAACTGGAGCGGTTAGAGAAATTGGGAAATATTGGCTAAAACTCGTTTTCGTAATGGTAATATATAATGTGACGAAAAAATAAAATAAAAAAATAATGCCCAATCAAATTTGGACAACTGGACTTTGGCTTCCTTTATTTTTATTATTTTTTAAGCGGAATTGTTTTTAAGCTAAAAGAAAAAAAAATTTAAGCTAAATTTTATTTTATTTTCTCAAACGACAATTAAAAGCTTTATTTTTGTGTCGATTTGTCTCTATCTATATGAAAATTTTTTAATTTAGTAAAAGAAATATATTAAAGTAATCTACAATTTTTAATCATTTTACAGTAAAATTTTTTTTTTTTTTTCTTTTAAATATGGATAGAGTTACAAAATATGATAGAGACTAGAGAGTTCTATAAATCTTATCTTTTGGTTGTACCAAACAAAAATTTAGAACCCTAAAACTCTAAATCTAGAATGACGAGAAGAATAAAACTGGTGGTTCCAGAGGAAGTAGTGGTGAAAATATTGGCCCGTTTATCATTGACGAGCATCACAAGATTCATATCAGTATGCAAAGAATGGAAATCGATAATCAATTCCGACTATTTTAGAGATCAATACGAGTCTCTAAACACGTCCTCCTCTGTTTCATGGTCAATCATGAGTACAAGGAACCAAACATTTGCGTTAGAGATCGTGGGACACCATGGATGCCAAAGATGGGGACTTAAAAGTTCTCTAGGCTCTTACATGCATTACAAATCCGACACACCATTGAGAAAAACTTGTGTCTTGAGCTGCACGGATGGAATTGTATTACTTTATACCGAAACCATCGAAGGTGCACCAATGTATCATGTCGGAAACCCTTTGTTGCAACAATGGGTTCAAATCCCTCTTCCTCCACATCTCACGGTTTTTGATGTCGTGAGGTTACAAGAGAACATGTTTTTCAGTGACACTGGACTTGTTACAAAGATGGAAAAGGGTATTGTCGTGGGTTACAAGGTAGTGTGGATGTTGGTGTCATGGGTTGTGTCTACTAAACTCACTTTTATGATATATTCTTCTGAAACAGGAGTGTGGAAAACCGAAAATGTGCGTTGTAACCGTTCCATGATTTGGTCTAGACTAAAGTATTCGGTTCCTTTAAACGGGATTCTTCACTGGCTTTCCTCTATTGGTAGCGACATAGACGCAAATTATATTGTATCATATGACTTCTATAATGGAGTTGATGATGTGTGTCGTACTATACCTTTTCCTGATTTCCAAGAATATCAACAAGCTAGGTGTTTCAAGAGAACAATCACAACGTCTGCAGGATTTGTGGTGTATTGCAACATTTTCTCGGATAATGGAGGCCGTACAATCATGGTTTGGAGGCTGATCTCTACGGATGATCATCCTAAGGCATGGCAACTCTCGTGGAAACTAAACCCCATTTGCAAGTTTGATGCTGATTATTTTCCCGTGGTGATGCATCCTTTGAACTATGAGATCATATACCTGTGGAGTAGGAACAAGAACGCTCTGATGTCGTTAAACTTGAGGACATACATGTATAGTCTTCGCAAGAAGTTATCACCGGAAGAGAAGGTGAAAAAGTCTATGGATGGTTGCATCATGAGATTTAGCGGTTGCAAGGAGTATATGGACTTGATCTATCCAATTTTCGCCAATGCAATATACGGTGGTGTTCACGATCTCTACTTTTCACAGTATGTGCTCCCACGCTGGCTAAACCCGCTCCCTCATCGTGCTTCTTGATAACGTATGTCTATGTCACATGCTTCTTTTCAGTTTTTATGTTTTTCTTTTGAATGATACACAAGTTGGTATGTATCGACAAAACCCATGTTTATTAGGATTGCCATGGCTGTTTATCCATGTCTCAGTGTTGATATGCTTGGTGGGATGTACTCTAGTATAGTGCTTTGGTGCCTTAATGAGGTGAATTAGTTAACATTTTTTTTTTGGTAATGTTCAAGTTAAAAAAAAAATTCCAATGACTCAGATGGATAATTAGGATGCTACCTAAACTTCTTCTCTTTATCATCATGAAGGTGATTTTCAGTTGAAAAGAAATCATCTTCATCACTCTTGCAAACATACTTACTAAAACATTAAAGCCGGTAGACACTTGGGTGCCAAATGATCCAGATTTTACCCAAGTCAAAGAATTCGTAGCAGAAATATACCTTCGAGAGCTGGTGCAGATCATCTTACTACACGGAAAGAGGCAACTATCTACGTGCTTTACATCCTGACGGGGTGGTGTTAATGCTCGAACTTGATCATCACAAGAAAGAAAATCATGAACAAAAATACGGTCTAGATTAATGTTTGTTAATGATATCTACTTTAATAAAGATTGTTATATAAATATTATCCAGCCAACGTTGTTAGAATTATTAGGGTATCTAGTTGTTTATGTGAATTTTTGATGGTTTTTGTTGGATAAAGGGATTTGTTTTATGTGTGTTTTCGAAAAAATGCATATTTTTTCACAAATACTAGTTTTGTTTATCTTTCATAACATGCATGTAAGCATTCTCTTAGCCTTAGCGAAAAATATAAAAGAAAAACCTTCCCCTTCTAAGACAAGTAAAAGGCCGAAGCCCTATGAACCTATCTTCCTCATCGGCCCATTAAACCATTAGGCCCATTTGTTTTCTACGGAGGAATTTGATTTCCTTTGCATCAGCAGAAATCGAGCTTCTTCCGTCGTTCTCCTCTTCAATTTGGGGCTAGGTGATGTGATTATCGTTACGTTTCTTCATCACTCATCAGTGATTCTGGGTTTGAATTTTCTCTAGATCTCTTTTGGATTTAGATCTCTTTGTTTCTGCTGTTTGCCTGAATTTCTCAAAATTCATTTCGTGGATCTGCGTTTCGCAAAGGGAGATACAGAGAGGAATAGCTCAGAATTGACAAGTTTTTTTTTTCTCTAATCCAGCGAATCTCAAGCTTCCATGGCTCTCAATCTCCGTCAGAAACAGACTGGTAATTCTCTCTCCGTAATTCTATGTGTGTGAATGATCGTACTTGTGTTCCATCTATGGATCTTGTTTTATCATAGTAGGCTGAATTTTGTTTTTAGGAATCTGGAAATTTAGAGAATTCTGGTTTCTTATGAGTAAATGTTAATGTTGATCTCTCGATTGCAGAATGTATAATCCGTATGCTAAATCTGAATCAACCTCTGAATCCAAGTGGAACTGCGAATGAAGAAGTTTACAAGATCTTGATCTACGACACATTCTGTCAAAACATTCTATCACCATTGATCAATGTCAAGGATCTGCGTAAGCATGGAGTTACACTCTACTTTCTCATAGACAAAGATCGAAGGCCCGTTCATGATGTCCCTGCTGTCTACTTTGTTCAGCCCACTGAATCCAACCTACAGAGGATCATAGCTGATGCTTCTAGATCTCTCTACGATACCTTTCATCTGAATTTCTCGTCTTCGATCCCTCGCAAGCTTCTTGAAGAGCTAGCTTCCGGGACTCTCAAATCTGGTTCTGTTGATAAAGTCTCGAAAGTGCATGATCAGTATCTGGAGTTTGTGACTTTGGAAGATAACTTGTTCTCTCTGGCTCAGCAATCTACCTATGTTCAAATGAATGATCCATCAGCCGGGGATAAAGAGATCGAAGAGATAATCGAAAGGGTTGCTAGTGGTTTGTTTTGTGTCTTGGTAACGCTCGGTGTTGTCCCTGTTATCCGGTGTCCTCGTGGTGGACCGGCAGAGATGGTGGCTTCTTTGTTGGATCAGAAACTGAGGGATCATCTTTTGTCCAAGAACAATCTGTTTACTGAAGGTGGCGGTTTCATGAGCTCGTTTCAGCGTCCGCTCTTGTGCATTTTCGATAGGAATTTTGAGCTCTCGGTTGGGATTCAGCATGATTTCAGATACCGGCCTCTTGTTCATGACGTTCTCGACTTAAAGCTCAACCGATTGACCGTGCAGGCAGAGAAAGGAGGAAAGAAATCGTTTGATCTGGACAGTGCTGACCCATTCTGGTCAGCAAACAGTTCTCTGGAGTTTCCAGAAGTCGCTGTGGAGATTGAAACGCAGTTGAACAAGTACAAGAGAGACGTGGAGGAGGTTAACAAGAGAACCGGCGGTGGGAGTGGCACTGAGTTTGATGGGACAGATCTGATCGGAAACACCAAACATCTCATGAACGCTGTGAATTCGCTCCCGGAATTAACTGAGAGAAAGCAAGTGATTGACAAACACACCAACATTGCAACCGCGCTCCTAGGACAGATCAAGGAGAGATCTATCGACGCTTTCACTAAGAAAGAAAGCGAGATGATGATGAGAGGTGGAATCGACAGAGCTGAACTTATGGCTACTCTAAAAGGCAAAGGTACAAAGATGGACAAGCTCCGGTTTGCAATCATGTACTTGATTTCCACAGAGACCATAAACCAATCCGAAGTGGAATCCGTGGAAGCAGCATTGAACGAAGCCGAGGCTGACACAAGCGCGTTTCAGTACGTGAAGAAAATCAAATCCTTAAACGTATCTCTTGCAGCTTCTTCAGCGAACTCAGCGAGTAGAAGCAACATTGTAGACTGGGCCGAGAAGCTTTACGGACAGTCTATAAGCGCAGTCACTGCAGGAGTGAAGAATCTGTTATCTAGTGATCAACAATTGGCAGTGACTCGAACCGTTGAAGCTTTAACAGAAGGAAAACCAAACCCAGAGATCGACTCTTACCTCTTCCTGGACCCAAGAGCTCCAAAGTCTTCTAGCTCCGGTGGTAGCCACGTGAAGGGACCGTTTAGAGAAGCTATAGTGTTCATGATCGGTGGAGGTAACTATGTTGAGTACGGGAGTTTGCAGGAGCTGACTCAGAGACAGTTAACCGTTAAAAACGTTATATATGGAGCCACTGAGATTCTTACCGGAGGTGAATTGGTGGAACAGCTTGGACTTTTGGGAAAGAAGATGGGATTGGGAGGTCTGGTCGCTTCAACGTCATCGTCTGGTCACTGAGTGTTAGACACTGTTGCTTTCTTTTTTTCTTTTGGCTTTTCAGAGAGTTTTTTTTTTGTTTCCTACATCAATGAAAAATTTATAAATCTCCGTTGCTATTATTGAACAGTTTTTAAAACAATCTTGATTTCTTCTATATGACATTAGGTGTACCGTGTACGTATTTTATTAAAGGATTTATTTGTGATCAAATTTTTTCTTTTTCTTGGGTAAATCTGGTAGATGGTAAGATTCATAAATTTGATTAAGTAAAAAAAAGTAATTTAAGTAGCTAAGTTGTTATATTAGCAAATGATAAATAGTTATCAACAAATGTCTTTGAATGAAACTAGTTAAGGCCACATCCACTGCAGCGAACATAAGAACTGAAAGTGACATCATTTTTCTGAAGCAGACTACTTCTTTAGGTGATCTAGGTGGATCAATGGATTAAGAGGTCGATAGAGTGACACCCAACAAGGTCATGAAACTAATAAGCAAAATAATCAGTTTCTTAAAATGCTTTTATTGACTATGTGGCTGACTGTTATAAAAGCTTGTTGGATTTTTGCTCCACATTAAACATACATACTGATGGGTAGATAATAAAAAATTCCCATGCAGTCAAAAAGGGTTATGTAGAAAGAATAGTCGTCTGCGTAGAGTAATGCATAAACGTAGACATGAGTATAAGATGAAGTAATAAACCTGATTTGGAGAAATTACCTTAAAAACTATTTTCTCCATGACCTTTTCATAGTATGGCAAAGCTTCCTTGAGTTTCCCAACATCCATAAGCGAGTCCCCCTTTTCTATTGCCTGTTATAATTAAAGAAAGTGTCAAAATCAAGGGAAGAAGTAGACGATGAGCAAAACGACTCTAGCTACCTTGAAGCCCGAATAGGAGCAGCACATGCCTCTAGTCTGTAGATAAAGCAAATAACTTTTTCTAGTTTTTCTCCACTCAAACTAATTTTTCAACGTTCTAGAAAATGTGGCAACGTGTATATCTAATATTAATAAATGAGATCCTGCTTAAGCAAACATGAGTCCATATCACAGTTTCAGCTGAACCCATATCCTTGCTCCATATGATATAATTAGGATTCTAAAGACAGCGACTAAAAATTTATAAAATATAGATTGGAGCAATCTCAGTGAGAGCATTATTGTTCTGTAAATGAGACTTGTTTTGCAATATTGCATCCAAATTCCAAACTAATTTCAGCATCAGGTCTGTCCTAGGAAGAACAAAAATGACTTTGGAGTACCTTCTCACACACAAGTTTGACAATTTTTTATTGTCAGAGACCGTTGCTTTGACATAGGTTTAAGAGCGCCAGTACCTAAAAAAGTAATTGATACTTACAAGTGGATTAAGGATAAGACTAAGGATAAGACTATCAAAAACTTATATCCAAAGTTAAGACTAGCGGACCTTGCTCGCCAATTTGAGTTAGGTGAACAAACTCATAGAGCTATTGAGGACTGTTTCCTCAATATTGAAGTTTTCAAGAGAGTATTAGCATCGAAAAACCTGGTAAGTTAATAAAAAAACATTTCATTATTTTAAGTATCAATTAATTTTAAATATAAGTTAATGTGTTTTGTGGTTAATTGTTTGAAGCTTGAAATACTTGGAACTGAAAAGAGCGACAATACTGTAAAGAGAAAAAGAGGAGGTTAATTTTCTTCAAGAAGCATTACAAATTGATGAGGCTGATGAAACTGTATGGGCTGTGAAGTTGAAGATCCTAAAGTGCTTACATCATTGAACAGACTTCGATCGAACAGCTTGTATTGAGCTTCTGTGCACAACTATGGCATGGACTGATTTTCGAACGCAAACTCACAATGAACTAAGAGCCAAGATAATTTCAATGTTTTTCAAGTCTCTTACATGTAGAGCACCAGAAATCGTGGCGGTTGCTAAGGAGGGTTTAAGACAGGTTCGATCAAAAGAAAAACCTAATTCTATACCGCCACCTAATTTTATTTAAATACTTGATTTGATATTCAGTTTAAAATCATAACTAACCCCTATTCTTTTGCTTTGATAATACGATTTAATTATGGAACGATAGTTTTATTGAAATATTAATGATATTTAGTTTTATATAAAATCGCAAGTTGGATTTGTAAAAACAATGATATGAATCCATCCAAAGTTTTGGATATTGTTTCAACATATCAACATGTACTAATCTATATTGTAAGTATAATTTTTTGTAAAGAAAATTTCCAATTTTTAAATTTACAACACATGAATATGTTAATGTTACTAAAAGGAAAAATACAAAAATATAAGTTTAAAAATATGGAAACATTTCTAAATACTTTTAAAACTTTAATGTATTTTTAATAATGTATTTTTATATTAGAATACTTAAAAATGGAAGAAACTAACATATAATAAATAAGAAAGAGTATAAAATTTTGTTGTTAAAAAAAAATATGTCGTAATATTTTGTCTATTTTTTCTTATGAACATATGAGTTGTGTTAGTGTTCCAATTTTTACATCGATAATTTGTGAAAAAGTATTGGAAAATCTGATATTAGTTTTTAGTCACGTAAATTCTTATCGAAACTTGGTATTAATCTTTACCAATGGGTTTATTTTTTTTATCAATAATTAGTAGAGATTCCAGTTTATACTATGAACGTTTAATGGTTAATATTGACCATTTCAAACTGTGAATAAGTTATCCTTGATGTTATTTTTTGGGTTGAAACCAATATTTTTCTTACTTTTTCCAAAAATATGGAAACATTTCTAAATACTTTTAAAACTTTAATGTATTTTTAATAATTGTTTTTATATTAGAATATTTAAAAAAGGAAGAAACTAACATATATAAATAAGGAGTATAAAATTTTGTTATTAAAAAAAATATGTTGTAATATTTTGTCGATTTTTTCTTATAAATATATGAGTTGTGTTAGTGTTCCAATTTTTACATCGATAATTTGTGGAAAAATATTAGAAAATATGATGGTGTCGTAAATTCTCATCCAAATTTTGTATTAATTTTTACCCATGGTTTTAATTTTTCATCAATAATTAGTAGAGATTCGAGTGTTTATACTATGAACGTTTGATGGTTCCTAGCAAAAACAAAATGAACCACCAAAAAAAAAATGAACGTTTGATGGTTAATATTGACGCTTCCAAACCGATGTTATTTTTTAGGTCCTTTTTCGAAATTTTTTTAGTAAATATTATTAATCATACAAAATTTGCATTAAAATTTTCAAGAAATATAACGCGGGTTTAACGTGGTTTTCCTCTTCTCTGGTTTGATGACCAATCTCCACAGTCATTCTGTTCAATGCTTCTCTCAGGATTATAGTAACCTCTCGAGTCATAATTGCTGCCTCCTTCTCGACGTCCATTTAGTACCGTTATGGTTGTTTGACCCTGAGGACTTTGCAGCAGAACCAGAGCGGTTTAGCTCCAATGGCAGCGGCTCGATTCCTTGCAAATTAGGCTCTAGAGTGAACCAAATCGGGCGTTTCGATTCATCCATTTTCCTAAATGTGATTGATATCCTGTTGGAAAGAACCAGGAAGAAACAGCTCATGAGAAAATTGATGTTTGTTGATATAAGAAAATTTGATGAATATATAACCTTTTTGTGGGAACTGCAGGTACACAGTGCTTGGCTACATCAGCCCCATTTCCATTTAACACCAGAACTGATCTGAAAAATACCCAAAAATCAATGTCATTGTTTTCATACTATTTGATGAAAATTTTTGATATTGGGAATTCATAAGAACTTAGTTACCCGACAGGAAGCGGTATTGAGTATGAACCCGAGAATTCACCAGGACCCTCAATTTTCATGTTTGAGCCAAAAAGGATATCACATTCACTGAGGAAAGAGATGGTGCAGAACGGACGGAGAAAGTCGTGGTTATCGATATGAGGTGGTATGTAGTCACCTTCATCATAAATGTTGACAATGCAACTATCGGGCACACAAGTTGGAGGCAGTACATGCCATTTAATCAGCCTTCTGATTATATCTTTGAAAAGCGGAGGTAATGGAACCACTTCTTCACGTTGAAGGATACCAGGTGGGTTTCCAGCTCTATCCTATCAACATACAAGATGGCAAAACTCTTAACTCATTTTGTTATAATGAAACAGATTAACATGGCAAAGAAAGAGTTACTCACTATAGCGTAGTTGTAACAACAGCCAAATTGTATAGTCACACGTCCTTTGCCTCTCATCCACTTCCGTGGAGCATTAAATGTATGCTCTATAGAGAGAGAACAAGATTAGGTTCAGACTGAAATAGGTCATAATTAAGATTAGAGCATTTTCAGATCGAAACAAGAAGCTACCTCTAAGTTCTCCTTTTCGTCCCTTATCTTGAAGTTGATACACTTGATTTACAATCCGTTTCTGCTCCACTGCGCTAAACACATCAGTGTGTAACTCAAGTCCATCCAGCACGTTAACGATCTTTCCCTTAACTCTCTCCAAGCAAATGAAGTCTTTCTTTCTCTTCACATGCATGAGCCTGAGATTCTCTCTCTGCTCTCTAGACAACTTTGGCTTCTCGAGAGTCTTCATCAGACTCGCATCAAAACCTTTCCTACCCGAATCCCTCTCCTCTTCTTCCTCCTCATCCTCTTGTGCCATATCAGCCCAAGACGTCCGAGAACTTGCTGATTCAGCAGCAGCTGGTCGAGAAGGCAATACACTACTAGAAGCTTCAGCAAAGGATCCAAATACAATATCAGTCTCCTTCCAACTACCTACCGAATGATTATCACAGTCTTCGCCCTTTTTCAAATCCCTAGTAGTCTTCCCACCATAATTATCATCCACATTGTAACTCGCTACTTCTGATTCCAAACCTGCTTTACCCTTTCCATCAACTTTGTCTGTGTTACTACAATGTTCTACACAAGGAAACATGATTACTCAAATCAACTTAATTCACCAAATTTAGAAACATAATTGTAAGTAAATGCTAAATTCCTAAAAACAAAAAACGTAACTCTCCCGCCTCCTCTTTTGCTCCAATTACCAAACCCTAAATGACCTATTTACCTTAACTCAATGCAAATGTAAGCCAGAAGAGATTCAATCATCATCAATAGGTGAAACTCACCTATTGCACTCTGATCGAGATGCATAATTGTGGTTCTTGCAATTTGTGCACATCCAGTCTCCATCACGCCATTGTTTTGTTCTATGTAATCAGTCAAAATAAAGAATTGATAAGCTATAAAAGGTTCTTCAAGAGAGTATTATAAAACTCTAGTGTTTAAGAAACAAGAAGCAGTGGAGACTAGAGATCAATACCGTACCCCTTTCTAAGTAATGTTGCTGTAGAAACGGGAGAGGAAGTTGCCAATTTGAGATCCTTCCTGGGCTCATACCAGGAAAAGATGCATATATCGCTGAATTTGGTTGCATGCTAGTCTGCACAAAGAGCCATAAGAAACAGAGGTTAAAGATTGGTGATGCAGCAAGTAAAATGTTTTGAACATACTAATCAATTTATGCGCTCTAACTAATCCTTACATATCCTTGATTCAGTCTTTTGCTATCCCATTCATGAGCCAAAGCTTCTGATGCTAATCTCTTTGTTCCGGGGGCTGCAATCGAAATAACATTCCTAAAGTGAAAACTCGTTTTGAAGGAATATCAAAGACCTTTCATGTTATATATAAAACTGCACAGCATCGATGTGTTCAAATTAGACAAAATCCATACCTAGTGGAGCTGTTTCATTGCACTTTTTGCACTGCAGAGACAAACAAAAAAGAAATGAGTAATCAACAAGCCGGAATATGCAAGGCGGTTTTGCATTGTGAAGCCACTTTCTAACCTGTATACGAGATGAATAATTGTGAAACCCACATCTGCAAATCCAGTCACCGCTCCTCCATTCTTTAAGAACCGAAGCCTGGTTTGCAGCGTTCGAGAATGCGAGTAAAGAACCAGGTTGATCGATTGGCTCAGGTCCACGGGTGAAGTAGTGGAGATGAGTTTGAAGAGAAGCTCCAGGGATTGCAAGTGCTGACAATGCTGCTACTTCCTTAGGTTGTCCACATTTTTTGCACTTTTCTCGTGATGCATAATTGTTGTTAGTGCAACCTATTGCCACACCACACCACCCACACACCCAAACGCAAAACGCAGCACGAAGAAGATACACACACAGGCACGCACGCACACCACAACACACCCACCAGCAATTTCCATATACCACATAACACAGAATACACAAAACACCTCAACCTATCTATAAGTAAAGCCACTAATCCACAATTCTAATCTAATGACTCATAAAATGGAAAAGGGCACTTGAAAGTTTAAGGATTTGAACTCAGTACTTACGATTCAGATCAATCCAAGTTTTGATTCTAGTTCATTAGCACAATCTGGGAAGCTAATTCACACAATCATAGTTTTAATTCTATGAGCTATGGAGAAGAAAGAACGAACCAGTGCAGATCCAATCGCCGATACGAGGAAGCCAAGTATTGTTATCCATGAAAAGACGAGGCTGCTTGCATCTGTTGCAGAATGATCTAAACGCATAATTCCTGTTTCTGCAACCTAAACATTCCCAGTCTCCTTCTCTTCCGTCTCCCATTTCTTCTTCCCGGCAAAACTCCAGTCTCCGGCGACGACTCACTCTTTTTCTTTCAGAGCGGAGAAAGAAAGAAAAAGTTGAAGAAAGCTAAAGATGGGCCAACTTTATTATAAAATTGACTCGGCCCATTAGGCTCATTGGGCCCATTAGGCCCATTCTTTTCTTCGGAGAAGCTCTCTTTCGTTGTTCACCAGGTGATGTGATAGTCGTTACATACATCTTCATCAGTAATCAGTGATTTTTGGGTTTGAAGTTTCTCTAAATCAGATCTCTTTGTTTCTACTGCTTTTCATCGTTTACCTGACTTTCTTAGAACTCATTTCGTTGGATCTGCGTTTTGCGAAGGGAGATACAGAGAGCAATAGCTCAAAATCGACGAATTTTTCCTCTCACCGAATCTCAAGCTTCCATGGCTCTCAATCTCCGTCAGAAACATACTGGTAATTCTCTCTTTATAATTCAATGTGAAATGATCTCAGTTTCTGTGATGATTCGTCTCTTGCTTCATAGATTGTGTTCGATCTATTGATTGTTTTAAGAATCTGGAAATTTAGAGAATTCTGGTTTCTTATGAGTAAACGTTGATATTAGATATTTGATCTCTCGGTTGCAGAATGTATAATCCGGATGCTGAATCTGAACCAACCTTTGAATCCAAGTGGAACTGCAACGAAGAAGTTTACAAGATCTTGATCTACGACAAGTTTTGTCAGAACATTTTGTCACCATTGATCCATGTCAAGGATCTGCGTAAGCATGGAATTACACTTTACTTTCTCATAGACAAAGATCGAAGACCTGTTCATGATGTTCCCGCTGTGTACTTTGTTCGATTCATCCATTTTCCTAAATGTGATTGATATCCTGTTGGAAAGAACCAGGAAGAAACAGCTCATGAGAAAATTGATGTTTGTTGATATAAGAAAATTTGATGAATATATAACCTTTTTGTGGGAACTGCATGTACACAGTGCTTGGCTACATCAGCCCCATTTCCATTTAACACCAGAACTGATCTGAAAAATACCCAAAAATCAATGTCATTGTTTTCATACTATTTGATGAAATTTTTTGATATTGGGAATTCATAAGAACTTAGTTATCCGACAGGAAGCGGTATTGAGTATGAACCCGAGAATTCACCAGGACCCTCAATTTTCAGGTTTGAGCCAAAAAGGATATCACATTCACTGAGGAAAGAGATGGTGCAGAACGGACGGAGAAAGTTGTGGTTATCGATATGAGGTGGTATGCAGTCACCTTCATCATAGATGTTGACAATGCAACTATCGGGCACACAAGTTGGAGGCAGTACATGCCATTTAATCAGCCTTCTGATTATATCTTTGAAAAGCGGAGGTAATGAAACCACTTCTTCAGGTTGAAGGATACCAGGTGGGTTTCCAGCTCTATCCTATCAACATACAAGATGGCAAAACTCTTAACTCATTTTGTTATAATGAAACAGATTAACATGGCAAAGAAAGAGTTACTCACTATAGCGTAGTTGTAACAACAGCCAAATTGTATAGTCACACGTCCTTTGCCTCTCATCCACTTCCGTGGAGCATTAAATGTATGCTCTATAGAGAGAGAACAAGATTAGGTTCAGACTGAAATAGGTCATAATTAAGATTAGAGCATTTTCAGATCGAAACAAGAAGCTACCTCTAAGTTCTCCTTTTCGTCCCTTATCTTGAAGTTGATACACTTGATTTACAATCCGTTTCTGCTCCACTGCGCTAAACACACCAGTGTGTAACTCAAGTCCATCCAGCACGTTAACGATCTTTCCCTTAACTCTCTCCAAGCAAATGAAGTCTTTCTTTCTCTTCACATGCATGAGCCTGAGATTCTCTCTCTGCTCTCTAGACAACTTCGGCTTCTAGGGAGTCTTCATCAGACTCGCATCAAAACCTTTCCTACCCGAATCCCTCTCCTCTTCTTCCTTATCATCCTCTTGTGCCATATCAGCCCAAGACGTCCGAGAACTTGCTGATTCAGCAGCAGCTGGTCGAGAAGGCAATACACTACTAGAAGCTTCAGCAAAGGATCCAAATACAATATCAGTCTCCTTCCAACTACCTACCGAATGATTATCACAGTCTTCGCCCTTTTTCAAATCCCTAGTAGTCTTCCCACCATAATTATCATCCACATTGTAACTCGCTACTTCTGATTCCAAACCAGCTTTACCCTTTCCATCAACTTTGTCTGTGTTACTACAATGTTCTACACAAGGAAACATGATTACTCAAATCAACTTAATTCACCAAATTTAGAAACATAATTGTAAGTAAATGCTAAATTCCTAAAAACAAAAAACGTAACTCTCCCGCCTCCTCTTTTGCTCCAATTACCAAACCCTAAATGACCTATTTACCTTAACTCAATGCAAATGTAAGCCAGAAGAGATTCAATCATCATCAATAGGTGAAACTCACCTATTGCACTCTGATCGAGATGCATAATTGTGGTTCTTGCAATTTGTGCACATCCAGTCTCCATCACGCCATTGTTTTGTTCTATGTAATCAGTCAAAATAAAGAATTGATAAGCTATAAAAGGTTCTTCAAGAGAGTATTATAAAACTCTAGTGTTTAAGAAACAAGAAGCAGTGGAGACTAGAGATCAATACCGTACCCCTTTCTAAGTAATGTTGCTGTAGAAACGGGAGAGGAAGTTGCCAATTTGAGATCCTTCCTGGGCTCATACCAGGAAAAGATGCATATATCGCTGAATTTGGTTGCATGCTAGTCTGCACAAAGAGCCATAAGAAACAGAGGTTAAAGATTGGTGATGCAGCAAGTAAAATGTTTTGAACATACTAATCAATTTATGCGCTCTAACTAATCCTTACATATCCTTGATTCAGTCTTTTGCTATCCCATTCATGAGCCAAAGCTTCTGATGCTAATCTCTTTGTTCCGGGGGCTGCAATCGAAATAACATTCCTAAAGTGAAAACTCGTTTTGAAGGAATATTAAAGACCTTTCATGTTATATATAAAACTGCACATCATCGATGTGTTCAAATTAGACAAAATCCATACCTAGTGGAGCTGTTTCATTGCACTTTTTGCACTGCAGAGACAAACAAAAAAAGAAATGAGTAATCAACAAGCCGGAATATGCAAGTCAGTTTTGCATTGTGAAGCCACTTTCTAACCTGTATACGAGATGAATAATTGTGAAACCCACATCTGCAAATCCAGTCACCGCTCCTCCATTCTTTAAGAACCGAAGCCTAGTTTGCAGCGTTCGAGAATGCGAGTAAAGAACCAGGTTGATCGATTGGCTCAGGTCCACGGGTGAAGTAGTGGAGATGAGTTTGAAGAGAAGCTCCAGGGATTGCAAGTGCTGACAATGCTGGTACTTCCTTAGGTTGCCCACATTTTTTGCACTTTTCTCGTGATGCATAATTGTTGTTAGTGCAACCTATTGCCACACCACACCACACCACACACCCAAACGCAAAACGCAGCACGAAGAAGATACACACACATGCACGCACGCACACCACAACACACCCACCAGCAATTTCCAAATACCACATAACACAGAATACACAAAACACCTCAACCTATCTATAAGTAAAGCCACTAATCCACAATTCTAATCTAATGACTCATCAAATGGAAAAGGGCACTTGAAAGTTTAAGTATTTGAACTCAGTACTTACGATTCAGATCAATCCTAGTTTTGATTCTAGTTCATTAGCACAATCTGGTAAGCTAATTCACACAATCATAGTTTTAATTCTGTGAGCTATGGAGAAGAAAGAACGAACCAGTGTAGATCCAATCGCCGATACGAGGAAGCCAAGTATTGTTATCCATGAAAAGACGAGGCTGCTTGCATCTGTTGCAGAATGATCTAAACGCATAATTCCTGTTTCTGCAACCTAAACATTCCCAGTCTCCTTCTCTTCCGTCTCCCATTTCTTCTTCCCGGCAAAACTCCAGTCTCCGGCGACGACTCACTCTTTTTCTTTCAGAGCGGAGAAAGAAAGAAAAAGTTGAAGAAAGTTAAAGATGGGCCAACTTTATTATAAAATTGACTCGGCCCATTAGGCTCATTAGGCCCATTAGGCCCATTCTTTTCTTCGGAGAAGCTCTCTTTCGTTGTTCACCAGGTGATGTGATAATCGTTACATACATCTTCATCAGTAATCAGTGATTTTTGGGTTTGAAGTTTCTCTAAATCAGATCTCTTTGTTTCTACTGCTTTTCATCGTTTACCTGACTTTCTTATAACTCATTTCGTTGGATCTGCGTTTTGCGAAGGGAGATACAGAGAGCAATAGCTCACAATCGACGAATTATTTCTCTCACCGAATCTCAAGCTTCCATGGCTCTCAATCTCCGTCAGAAACATACTGGTAATTCTCTCTTTATAATTCAATGTGAAATGATCTCAGTTTCTGTGATGATTCGTCTCTTGCTTCATAGATTGTGTTCGATCTATTGATTGTTTTAAGAATCTGGAAATTTAGAGAATTCTGGTTTCTTATGAGTAAACGTTGATATTAGATCTTTGATCTCTCGGTTGCAGAATGTATAATCCGGATGCTGAGTCTGAACCAACCTTTGAATCCAAGTGGAACTGCAAACGAAGAAGTTTATAAGATCTTGATCTACAACAGGTTTTGTCAGAACATTCTATCTCCATTGATCCATGTCAAGGATCTGCGTAAACATGGAGTTACACTTTACTTTCTCATAGACAAAGATCGAAGACCCGTTCACGATGTTCATGCTGTGTACTTTGTTCAACCCACTGAATCTAACCTCCAGAGGATCATAGCTGGTGCTTCTAGATCTCTCTATGATACTTATCATCTGAATTTCTCGTCTTCGATCCCTCGCAAGCATCTTGAAGAGCTAGCTTCTGGGACTCTTAAATCTGGTTCTGTTGAGAAAGTCTCGAAAGTGCATGATCAGTATTTGGAGTTTGTGACTTTGGAAGATAATTTGTTCTCTCTGGCTCAGCAATCTACTTATGTTCAGATGAATGACCCATCAGCAGGGGATAAAGAGATTGAAGAGATTATCGAAAGGGTCGCTAGTGGTTTGTTTTGTGTGTTGGTAACGCTTGGTGTGGTTCCTGTTATCCGGTGCCCACGTGGTGGACCTGCGGAGATGGTGGCTTCTTTGTTGGATCAAAAACTGAGGGATCATCTCTTGTCTAAGAATAATCTGTTTACTGAAGGTGGCGGTTTCATGAGCTTGTTTCAGCGTCCGCTCTTGTGCATTTTCGATAGGAACTTTGAGCTCTCGGTCGGGATTCAACATGATTTCAGATACCGGCCTCTTGTCCACGATGTTCTCGAGTTAAAGCTCAACCGATTGAACGTGCAGGGAGAGAAAGGTGGAATGAAATCGTTTGAGCTGGACAGTTCGGACCCATTCTGGTCAGCTAACAGTTCTCTAGAGTTTCCAGAGGTCGCTGTGGAGATCGAAACGCAGTTGAACAAGTACAAGAGAGATGTTGAGGAGGTTAACAAGAGAATCGGCGGTGGGAGCGGGGCTGAGTTTGATGGGACAGATCTGATTGGAAACACCAAACATCTCATGAACGCTGTGAACTCCCTCCCAGAATTAACTGAGAGAAAGCAAGTGATTGACAAACACACCAACATCGCAACCGCGCTCTTAGGACAGATCAAGAAGAGATCTATTGACGCTTTCACTAAGAAAGAAAGCGACATGATGATGAGAGGCGGAATCGACAGAAACGAACTTATGGCTGCTCTGAAAGGCAAAGGTACAAAGATGGACAAGCTCCGGTTTGCAATCATGTACTTGATCTCCACAGAAACCATAAACCAATCCGAAGTCGAAGCCGTGGAAGCAGCATTGAATGAAGCTGAGGCTGACACAAGCGCGTTTCAGTACGTGAAGAAGATCAAATCCTTAAATGTATCTCTTGCAGCATCTTCGGCAAACTCAGCGAGCATAAGCAACATTGTAGACTGGGCTGAGAAGCGTTACAGACAGTCTATAAGCACAGTCACTGCAGGAGTCAAGAACCTGTTATCTAGTGATCAAAAATTGGCAGTGACTCGAACCGTTGAAGCTTTAACGGAAGGAAAACCAAACCCGAAGATCGATTCTTACCTCTTCCTGGACCCAAGAGCTCCAAAGTCGTCTAGTTCCGGTGGTAGTCACGTGAAGGGACCGTTTAGAGAAGCTATAGTGTTCATGATCGGTGGAGGTAACTATGGTGAATATGGAAGTCTGCAGGAGCTGACTCAGAGACAGTTAACCGTTAAGAACGTAATTTATGGAGCCACTGAGATTCTTACCAGAGGTGAATTGGTGGAGCAGCTTGGCGTTTTGGGAAAGAAGATGGGATTGGGAGGTCCGGTCGCTTCAACGTCATTGTCTGGTCACTGAGTGTTACACACTGTTGCCTTTCATTTTTTTCTTTTGCCTTTTGAGAGACTCTTATTTTTGGTTTTTAATTCAATCTATAAAGGGCCATTTAGGTGAGTGACCAAATTTATAAACATTATTAAGAATATAGCACTTTATTTGAAAAAATTAAGAGACTAACATAAAGGATATGAGAAATTACCATTTTGGTGTTTCTTTTGTCTTTTAGATTTTGTTACCCCATCCTATTTTATTGGTGCATATATTTTTTACTTTAGAGATTCAAAATTTCAAATTTATCTTAAAAAAATGTAGATTTTTTTTCTGTATAAAACATGATTTGAATTTAAAAAAACGGAAGTGATAATTTTATAATGGTGAATAGTGTTTTTAGTTAAATAGAAATTGTACTATATGAATAGAATGGTCTACTATACTATTTTCCGGAGATACAACATAGAGAACACAAAATGCTAAATTAACCGCACCATAAATAAAGAACGCTATACCATAAGGGATACAACAGAAGGAACCCAAACGACCAAGTTAAACACGCAAAAAAAAAACGATATAGCCTAAACAATACAACATAAAAAAATCTAATTTGGCGAGTTAAACATACGCCGAATAAAAGATATTATAGCTAAAAAATAACCGAAAATTTTCTAATTAAATCATATTATCGATTTTTTAATTTTCAAATCAGATAAATACATAAAAAATCTGCTTTTTTCTTTTAAAAAATCACGAACTTAAATTAATATTTGTAAACATAAATTAAGGTAAAGTTTATAAAAGATAAAAGAAAACAATTTAGAAAAAAATGTAAATAGAATTTCTTTTCCATTAACTTAGTACAAGAATGTTCCATCTTTGTTTCAGATAAAAACATTCTTGCAACCTTTATCTGTAGATTATCATGGTTTATGCCTTTATACAAGAATGTTCCATCTTTGTTTTTTCCTCTAAAACAGGAGGTAGTTCTTACGTCTGTATATCAGACGGCAAGAGTTTTGATTTAGATTGCCAACGTGGCAAAATCGTAAATGACGTGGCAAATAGAATTAGCCAACGTCTTTTATCCGCGTGTAAATACAATGGCTCTGTTCCGTAGACTTGTGTTGAAGTTTCTCTCTAAAACCACAAATCTATTTTCCCTCCTCTACGAGAAACCAATCGGAGTTGAATAGTGCGATTCTAAGCAATTTCTTCGTTTCCATGGAGTCTGATATCGAGATTCTGCCAGATGCTGATGCGTCTACGCAGAAGATACGCATGTTTGGAATTGATGATCGCGAAGATAAGGTATCTTGTTCTGTTGTTCGATAAACCCTAAAATTGTCACTGTTGATTCTTTCTTCGATCAAAGAATTTTCGTTTTCTTTGGCGTGTTTCAAGGTCTTCGATTCTGCATGAAACTAAAAAATCGGACATTGTCATTTTCTTTAGACTGTTTTATCATCTTCGGAAATTTTGAAATGTTGTGTTAGTTTTTGATTTAGATGATATTATTTGTTCATGGTTCTGATTTTTCTGTGATTTGGTAGAATGGGAGAAGAAGGATCAAAGATGTTGAAGTTTATGTTCCTATTGTGTATGGATCGATTGCTTTTTATCTTGGAAAGAAAGCTACTGAGTGAGTTTTTTTTTTATAGTATGTATCAAAGAATAAATATGTGTACAACCAAAATATTGCATAGTCGTTGTGACCAATAAAAGAGACCATGAAGGATATCTAGAAAATCAAACGTTCCGTACGGTGAACCTGCTCCAGAATTTTCAAAGAAGGGCTTAGCTTCTTCCGAGTCAGATGCTTCTTTGTCTTCGCTAAGCAAAAGGTTGGCACATCCTTTTGCATTTACTTGAGCGATTATGTACAACTATAGCATGGCTTCACACATGTTTTTTTTTATATTGTTATTCCTTACATTTCCAAACGAGAGCTTAAAGATATTGGACTTTATATTTGACTACACTACATCAAATTACCTGGTTTCCGATAAAAGAGACCATGACCATGATGGAGATATAAGGGGTAGAGATAAACATAGCAAAGAGAGGAGTAACACGGAGAAAGACATGAACGCTCATATATTTTGTCAATTATGTAGTGATCTATTGGTAGAAACTACCAAAGAAAGACCAAAAAGACTTTGCTGAACCTTACTTCACGCATGGATCATCTGTGCATGTGCCTAAGTTTTGTAACTCTTCCTCTTTGTTCTTCGTTTAATTTTTTGTACCCATCAAAGTGGAGAAACAACTTTATTTTAGTATCTAAGCAAATGTTATATCTGCAAGACGACATCCATACATAAATTAAATACATACTTACATATTTTTGGAGGTAATATTGTATTAACTAATTAAATTTGCAAAATTAAAATCGAAGTCGAAGTCAATTTTTTTACATAATAGAGTTTTTTTTTTCTTATCAATGTTTATTAATGATGTCAACTTTAATTACGATTGTTTTTTTCTTTTGCGTGATGAAGATTAGCAAGAGAAAGAGCGATCTTGATTTTGATTTTGACGATGTCATGAATGCCATAATTTGTTGCAATGATGCCGAAATTTGCGCCTGGAATCCTGTAGTTGCTCTTGAAGATCTACGTATGCTCTAGATTAGCGTGAGAAAGAGCGACCTTGAATTTGATTTTGACGTGATGAAGATTAGCGAGAGAATGTGGACTTCTGTGAATGATTTTGACATTTGTTAGTGGAATCATGTAGTTTCTCTAGATGAAGAAACCTTAGTGATTGTTTGTTTCTTTTTTTTGGATATATGGACGAATTTTGTGATTGTTGATGTTGAAATTTTCATGTGATAGTTTCTCAAGGAGGTGGCTGCAGAGTTTGTGTTCTCGATCATGTTAGATGAGCCTGCTGATAAAATCTATGTGTTCTATACCACCAAAACTCCTCAAGTAATCACAACTATGATCTCTTAATTTCTACAGATTTTTCCTTGTGGTTGTGTTGTTGTGATGTTATTTCTTGGAAACCAGGTGATGAATGTGGCATATAAAGCTGGTTCTGGAAACTTCAGAGAGAACATGTTCAAGAAAGTTGTGAAGAACTTACCAATTGTGCATAAGGAAATGGGATCAGAGCTTACTTCAGATGGTACTTGCTCCTCTTGAAGATCTTCTTGCTTGTTTATGTTCTGTCCCTGTTGCATGTTGATGTTGTTGCCTTAATTGCATCTTTTGCTCATATATAGATTTGATCAAGATTCTCACTTACCAGCCCATGTATACAATGGGGGATCCACATACCATGAAAGAGATCATCCTAGTTACATCCGCTGTGCCTAATCTCGCCTCTAGCGTCTCTAGAAACATTTTGATGGTAACAAGGCACTTACACTTTCTGTGTTTCTGAATTCTGATGATGATTTATAGTGTCTCATGATGTTTTCAATTCGTTTTGCTCTCTTAGGCTGCTAAGGAGAAGTGTGTTTCCTTTGAGTTTCTTTTGGTTGACGACGACCCGTCCCGTGTTCATGAGAAGAAAGAGACCTTCCTCAGAACTCTCTCAGAGATTGAAAACTGCAGCATGCGATACTGGCCTAATGGTCAGTTGCACAAAACTACTCTCCATCTCTCTTTTCCTTTATTTTATCTTTGCATTCGCATCCTCCTAATCTCTTCTATGTTTTCATACCAGACTCGGTTTCTATGAAGACCTATGTGCAGGCCCTGTTCAGTAAACTTAATGATGCTAGTGGAGATCTCGGTCACATTCATCCAAACTATTTGTTCCCCAAAGCTTTATGGTTTGGCCAACACCTTTAACTAGCAGTCTAGCATCATGATTAGAACAAAAATACAGTGGGAGATATGGGCATTGGCTTATAGAAAACAATCTATTCATGTGTTTTATAAATGTGACTGGATCATTTATGTTGGTATACAAGGGTTTCAATCAAGGGTACTAGAAAGATGAGAAAAAATTCAAGAAATTAGATTTCAATCAGTTAGAGAATATATATCGACGACGAAAAAGAATTCGAAAGCGTTTGGATGCATGGATAGTGGTGAGAATTCTACTCTATGTTAATTATTTTAACTTGGTAAAACTTAGAATTGTTGGTGTATCTAGTTGTTTCTGTAAATTTTTGATGTTTTTTTTGCTCTTGAGTTGTGAAAATTATTAAAAAAATTTTTTTTTGTTTTAGAATAAAATGTTAAATTATATTCAAGAAAAAAAAAAAAATTTACATCAGCATCCTTTTAAGACTTTGAAAAAAAATAGGGCAGAACGTGAAATTGAGAAACAAAGTTTTGAGAAAACAGAGCAATGAAAAGGGATTGAGAATTTTTTGGAGCTTCCTAGGCTTGAGAGGCAAACCATGCTTGTAGAGCTTGGTCATAGCGCATGTCGCCTGTTGAACAAATAACCGACAGTTAGTTGCGTACATTCTTATCAATCCAACAAATTAGGGTTATTGCAGGACATGGTACTTCTCCACGGCGTCTTACGTTCCGCTCTCTCCAAATAGTGTAAATCGTGATTTGGAAAATGTTCCTCGCCAAGAAACTGTGAACACGATCATGATTTGTAGCCGAGATATAATCTTCAATTTGTTGCCATTCCTCTGTGAAATGAGTGTTGAAAATGTTTTGAGCAAGAGCCTTCCAAATTTTGTAGCCGTATGGACAAGAGAAGAAGAGATGGTCTCGCGACTCTATGGGCGCAGCACAGAAAACACATGACACGGTGGAGCCATTATTCCACAGCTGCATTCGGTCCCCCGTTGATAGGCGATTTTGTAAAGCTTACCATGTGCAAAAAGAAAAATTTGGTGTCGCATGAGTGAACCAAACCCCTTTCTACCAAGCCACCTGATTTGAAATTGTCCTTATATGATTCCAAGTGTCTTTGGTTGAGGAGCTAGCCTTGAAAGCATCTCCCTTACCTCGCCATAACACAGTGTCATCCCTTGCCATGTTACGACTCTGATACGTCATAGCCAGTGCCTCGTCCACATCGTTTAGAGCCTCTATTCGATGGCATCTCCTGCGTCGTTGCCTCCAAGCCTCCCCCAGCGTCATATACCTGCCTATGCTCATGTCTATAACCCCTCTTGGCTGATTTTATCCATTAGTGATCCCTTACCCGTCCAGTTATCGAACAAGAACGATGTGTTTGGCCCATTCTGAACTTCTACTTTACAAAATGTCTTCGCATGACCTCTATATTTCATTAACTTCTTCCACATCCAAGATCGCAAGCTTGAAGTTATCTTAAAGGACCAGAACGACTCTTTTTTGAGTAACATCATCTTTGACCATCTAACCCACAAAGAATCACTATTTGAGATTAACCGGCATATCAACTTTAAGCAACATACATCATTTGCTTCCTTCTTTGGCTTACATACCACTTCCCAAGAGACTTTTGCTTTGTTTGTGTTTAGTTCTGGTCCTGACCATAGAAATGCCGAGCAGATTTTATCTATCTCTTTTATACATTCTCTTGGCAACCGATACACATTCATCCAGAAGTTTATAATGCTCCATAAAACAGAACTGTGAGATTTAAACGACTCGCAAAGGAGAGATAACGTGCAGTCCAAGTTTCAATTCTACTACGGATTTGGTTGATTAACGGTGAGAGATTTCCTGATGTGAGTCTCTTAGTGACAAGGGGGAGGCCAAGATATCTGACTAAAAGCTTACCTAAGCCAAAGGGATAGCGGCTTACCATCCATTGGTGAGTGCTATCTGAATGTCTTAAATACTAAACGAAAACGAATGTCCTAAGTCCTAAATAATTAATAAAGTTTGACTTAATATTCTTCTTTTTCATAGAAAATCGGAATTGCCAACTGTCTCTGTCTCTATTCCTCAAAAAAAGAAAGAAAAAAACCTGTGTCTTGCCGAGACGATGGTTTTCTGTTTGGCGTGAGACACTGGTTTTGGCTATTCCTTATGAACCTGCTTCAATGGTTATATTTCTATTTCAACTCCCATGATCTATTTCTATTGCATGGTTATACTACGTTGAGTCCCTGAACCTTTGTTTTTGGTCTGATTATATGTATAATGAAAAATTCGAACAAGGTCATGTGAACCACCAGCGAACTGCTTGTTGACCATGGACATATTCACCATGAACTGCTTCTTCACCATGAATTAGTATCACACGTTTGGTGATTTGTTGTACCAAAGGCTAGAGATGTGAAATCCAAAATTTCCTTTTTGTTTTGTTTTAAAAGTATCCCAAAATCACCCAAGTTTAATAATAAAATCTCACCAAATCACCAATCATTTTATATATATATAACTCTTATCAAATAACCAAACTTACCAAAAAATAAAACTCATTCAAATCTCTCAAAAATCTAAAATATTCAAATTCCACCAAGCCTCCTAAACCATTCCGGATTCGTTCAGTCAACTAATTAATTAGAAAGAAATCTACATTTCCGTAAGAAATTTAGTAAAAAATCAATCCATTCAATATAAAAGCACATCCACCACTCTCTCCTTTTTCTCTTTCGTTATAGATTCAAAAATGGATGTAAGAGAAGCTATGAAGAAGCAAACCGATGTCGCGATGATCCTCTTCGGGCACGTCTTATCATCCGCGCCCAAAGACTCTAACGTCATCTTCTCACCGGCGTCAATAAACTCTGCAATCACCATGCTTGCAGCTGGTCCCGGGGGTGATTCAGTCGCCGGTGAAATCCTCTCCTTCCTCAGATCTTCTTCAATCGATGAGCTCAAAGCCATCTTCCGAGAACTATCGTCCGTCGTCTATGCCGACAGCAGTGCGAGTGGTGGCCCAAAGATAACGGCGGCTAATGGCCTCTGGATTGATAAATCACTTCCGACTGATCCTAAGTTCAAGGATCTCTTCGAGAACTTCTTTAAGGCTGTTTATGCTCCAGTAGATTTCCGATCAAAGGTAAATTTTCACTTCAATCTCGCTTTTTTCAGAAAGAAAAAAAAGAAAATCTAGGGTTTGGGAGAAATATCACAAAACTAGGGTTTGCCAGAATTATATCACAAGATATAGGGTTTGGTGGAACCCTAGAATGTGTAAGAGCTTTTTGAATTGAAGAACATACACACCAAGTCATATTAGGAACCGAGTAATTCTTGTTTCTTTACTTCAAAACTTCACTTTCAAATTATGAGGCAGTCTTCAAATTCAAAATTAAAAAAATTGCATTTGACAAATCTGAATCTAGAATTGTATTTTTGAATAGTGGCAATTGGCAAAAATGAAATTGCAAGCATTTTGGTGATATGAATGAATTTTATTTTTTTTAGGCTGAAGAAGTGCGTATAGAGGTGAATTCATGGGTTGAATATCACACAAATAATCTTATCAAGGATCTTATTCCTCATGGATCCGTTAAAAGCGACACAAACAAGATTTACGCAAACGCATTGTATTTCAAGGGAGCTTGGCAAAGACAATTTGAAAAGTACAATACAAGAGATAATGACTTCCATCTTGTCAATGGCACATCAGTTTCTGTGCCATTCATGACCAGCAATGAGAACCAATACGTAAGAGCTTATGACGGTTTCAAGGTCCTCATGCTCCCTTATCGACGAGGCAGTGATGATATTAATAGCAAATTCTCAATGTATTTCTATCTACCCGACAAGAAAGATGGATTGGATGATCTCTTGGAGAAAATGACATCTATACCTGGATTCTTGGATAGTCACATTCCGAGATATAGAGCAAAACTTAAAATTCCAAAGTTTAAGATCGAATTTGGTTTATGTCTTACAAGTGTTTTGAATCGACTGGGACTGGCTTCAATGTCAATGTACCATAAAGCTTGTGTCGAGATCGATGAAGAAGGTGCTGAAGCTGCGGCTGCAACTGCTGTATTATTAGGTTGTGCTCTTAATATGGAGCCTCCTAAGAAGATAGATTTTGTGGCTGATCATCCATTTCTTTTCCTTATTCGAGAAGACAAAACTGGGACTGTTTTGTTCGTTGGTCAGCTCTTCGAACCTTCGGAATCTTGTTCGAACTGAGATGAGTATTTAACGGGGTTATGGTTTTGGCAAAGTTCATAGGTTCTTGGAAACTATATTTCAGGTGAAACGCCGAGATTGTTCAAATTAAGTTGGTTCTAGCTAGTTATGTGCGTAAACTTTAATTGATCTCAATATCTATTCAATTTCTTCCGTTTGATTTTCGGTTATAATTTGAATTAATGGTCTTTGATAATTAAGATATTCCTTCAAAATCTTTAGATATAAGTGTTAGTTAAAAATTAAAATGTCAAATTTTAATTGGTTAGATTTGATAAACTAAGTACAGATATTTTTACTAAATACATATTATTAAAAAAGTTGAAAATGAAATTTAAGAAGATTTTGTTCTCATATAAAAAGATCTTATATTTTTATTTCAAGCAATAAGAATTATTAAAAAATATTTTAATTAATTTAATTGGCTTGTTTGATTATATGGATATATAGAAAACAAATACTGAGATACTGAATAATTGTATGGATGGTAATTTAGATAATTACTCTTTGACAGAAAGTAATTTACATAATTGGTTATTTTAGCCCTTAATAAAAAAATTTCTTTGTTATTAAAATTTATTATCTGTAATTAGCAAATATTGTAATATATAACCTCTTAAAGTTATTTTTAAATGTACTAAACCGTTAATATTAGTAAGATATAAGGGTTAGTTTTATAGTTTTTGTTTTAATATCAAACTAGATTCGGACCCGCACGTTCGTGCGGGATTATGTTTGTACATGTATTTATTTGGTATACCATTCATTATCCTACCTCATATCAGTTTGGTATTCGGTTTAGTTTCAATTTGGTTTAGATAAAATAATTAATCGGATTTGTTTTTGGTTACAGTAAAGACAATTACATAATTAAAAAGAGAGAGAGAAAATAG